GTATATCATTCCTATTTTCTATTCTCGAAAGATAGAAAGTGTATCCCTCCTACTTTTTATTATTTCTATCAAACAGAACACTATGTTTTATTTGGTACGATGGAAAAATGGTAGGATGAAAAGTTAGAGGGATAAATAAAAAATCATGTTTGAAAAAAAAAAAATAGGAAGGATGAAAAAGTAGATGGATTAACTTTCCTTCCAAGTCACCAAAATCAATTCCTCCAAAATCGGAAAGAAAATGGATAAAAAGTTAATTGTTTGTGTTGAGATTTATCTTATTTATCTATATATCTTTTAATATATACATATATTATGTATACATTAATTTCATATAAAAATACGATGATAACATATGTATTTATATATTTTAAAAATAAAATAAAAAATAAACAATAAAAAAATAAAATTAAAAATTTAAATTAAAAAACAATATTTTTTCCATTTTAACTTGAGGTAAAAACTTTCGACTCAACACGATGACACGACTCGAATTTGACATAAATATTATGACACGAACTTAAAAATGACCTGATATGCAAACAAGAAATATAAAAGACTCATAATCAGTTCAATTGATCAAACTCAAAATAAACAGGTCAATTCGCAACTCAATATGACACAATTAGTTAAATGAGTTAAATTAAGTGCGACTAATATTCAACATAAATCCGTAATGACTCAATACGAATTTAACACGACACGACTCGATTGTTATCCCTAATCTTAACTAACACAAAAAATAAAAATAAAAATTTAGTCATTTTTATATTCCATTTATTCAACCAAACACAAAAAAAAAATGTATTTTTTCTACTTTTCATTTTTTCTATCAAACAGGATATTAAGTATCAAAGTTTTCCCAAAAAAATTAAACCATAAGAAGGACAAGGGAAATGGAATCTCGACCACATCGATGTAAGTGCGCACACACTTATTTGAAAGAACAATAATAATTGTCGTATAGAATTGAAGAGTAATCCAAATATGAAATAAGACCTCTAGAAGATTAGCCATGTCCAGTTAGGTATGGTTGTCTCTTTTTAGAATTTAGGTAGGCATGCATAAAATTCTCAGTCTCAGCCCCGAGCAACGACTACATTATTGATGTTATATATATATCACTCACGGAGCTTTATAGGGTTTAGGGCGGGCACAGCGTCGTAAAATTCAGGACCTAATGATATTCTAATTGTTACATGAATTGAACGGGAGGATTGCATTCGAATATATGTTCTGTATGTTATTATTAGTATTTAATTTAATGAATTTTTACTCTAATGGTACTCTTTCTCTTGTAAAAATTTTGTTTTATTGAGGTTAAGGGTTCAAATCTCTTTTCTCCTTCACCTCCAAAAAATAAAAAGAGAAATAAGAAAATGAGCAATTGCTAGTCAATTTTCTTTCATTTTCCCTCAATTTTTTTAAAAAAAAATATGTATGTCTATATTTATATATTTTAAAAGTTCTACAAATACGTTTTTTATTTGTGCCCACTCTAAAACTTTGTTACTTTAATTAATTAGTCGTTTTTATTATATTAAGGTGTTCTATAGGTGATCTTTATATTCCTATTTATGAATTTTTAATTTTTTTTTGTTAATTTAAAAGTAAAAATATTTATAATTGACCTTCAATTTGCTTTTATTTTTTTGCTGGAACTTGTCTTTAATTTTTTTTTGAAAATTGATTGTAGTGTTTATTACATGTCAATTGCAATTTAAAATTTTTACTATGTTTGGTTCTTAAATTTTAGTTTAGTGGCTTTACTATTATAATATCTTAGTGATAATATTTGAAAAAATGTTTAAGGAATAAATATAATAGATGGTCAATCGATAACCGGTAGTTTTTTAATTATACAACAACAATTAACTTCACATTTTTACAATGTTGATACTTGGTCATTTTTATATACATACATAATATACATTATTTTTTGCCCTTATTGAACGAACTTCATTTATTAAATAGGATATGATAAAAACAAATGTATCATTTTATTGTAATTGGTTAAGGGAAAAAAAAATTATAGTATATAATTAAAGTGCTCACCCTAATAAAAATTCTCGACTTTGCCCCTGCATATATGATACGTGTCGCATATGTTTGTTTTTATGGTTGTTGTCGTGTTTAGAAGTTATGCCAATTATGTTGAATTAAATTTTACTCAATCTATATATATTTGGCCCATCCATAATCGTGCATAAAATAAATTAATAAGATCGAATTCATATCAAATATAATTATGATTAGTTGGTTCGCAATCATATACTTATTAGGGTTGTGAGTCATGTCAATCCATTTAAATAAAATGAGTTTTGCAAATCATTTTATTTGTCACAATATTTTGAAAAATGTGTAACTCATACTATAAATTTTTATTTTTTTTTGGTTCAATAATTAGGTGTTCGAATTAATTTATTTGGCGATGAACGACATGCCATGTTGTGATCAGAAAAATCAGAAGGAACAAATCCGTCTTGACAACGACGGTGTTCAAACCCATATGTTTTATGTTGCGATTGACTAGTCGCATTAAGAGTTTTTCCAGTGTCACCCTTACGGCAATCAAGTTATAACTTTTTTCTTAGCCCTATATAAATATCTCATTACTACGATGACTTGCTGTACTTTCAAAAAGATTGCACAGAGAGAGAGAGAGATATGCTTCTCTTCTTGAAATCTTTATCAAGAACAGTCCATGAAGTCCATGATGAGCAGGAGTACAAGAGCGAGAGTGACAGCCCAAGCATATCACTGACGGTATGGAGAAAATCTCTCCTTTTTAGCTGTCACGGTTTCACGGTGATCGGCTCCGGTGGAAATCTAGTCTTCAGAGTTGATAATTACACCGGACGGTCAAATGATGTCACTCTCATGGATGGTTCAGGGAAACCCATCCTTACAGTATGCCGTCGCAAGGTAATATTGCCTTGCCCATGAGTCATGTCCTTTTAGTCGTGTTTAACCGAATTTATGTCGTGTCTAAATTAATTGAGTTTGCTCCTTGATTTTTCTCATCAATTTGATGAACAGAAGCTAAGGCTGGTAGATAACTGGCTTGTCTATGAAGGAGAAGTTGGAGACGACACTGGTACAAAGTCATCAAAGAAGCCAATATGCTGTGTGAGGAAACACATTAATATCCTACAACCCAATCTCAATGTACTCGCATATGTTTATCATGGGCCATCAGAAAAGAGATATGCCTACGTGATTGAAGGATCATATGCACATCGATCATGCAAGTTGTTGGATGAATCAAGGAGGGTGATGGCGGAGATCAAGAAGAAAGAAGCCATGATCGGCGGCGTTACTTTCGGGTTAGAGGTGTTTCTTTTGATCGTACAACCAGGATTCGATCTTGGGTTTGCCATGGGGATTGTTTTGCTACTTGATCAAATGTTTACATGAGTTTATAATATCAAGTCTTTTTTTCATTTTTCCTCATGGTGATGTTCACTAGGCCAACGTTGGTGTTGGTGTTGCTGAGCTGTGTCTGTGTCTTAACGTAACAAAACTTTGTTAGCAAAAAAGTTAATGAGGAGACAAAATCAATTTTCGTAATTCCTAAAGTGAGCTTTTTAATGATTAAAAAACCGTTGCAGCCCATATTAAAACGCAAATTTTATATTCCAAATACATGTGCACCACCACGTATATCACTTTGTCGGTCCCCAAAAATTAGTTTTTTCCTTCAATGTGTGGTACATATATATTTGAGATACAAAATTTGAGTTTTGATTTAAGCAACATAACATTTCTCATAAGCAAAAGGTTGTTGCTAAGAAATCTTAGCTTGTGAGAGATATCGAAGAGACGTAACACATCTCAAGCATAAACTAGTTGCTTTAGCTTGGAAAACTCTTGTTTAACAGGAAGACAACTCAAAATACAAAAAAAAAAACTTTGTTTTAACATGATCGCCAACCTCGATCTTTAAACGTATTGTATAAATTGAAAAAATCATGGACAAATTCCTGAATCACCAGAAAGAATGTGGAGAAAAGTTTCCACCTAATTTAAGCGCAATATGTTGTTTACCAGGAAAGGGAAAAAAGATTAATTAATTTGGTTCAGTGGTNATTGTATAAATTGAAAAAATCATGGACAAATTCCTGAATCACCAGAAAGAATGTGGAGAAAAGTTTCCACCTAATTTAATCGCAATATGTTGTTTACCAGGAAAGGGAAAAAAGATTAATTAATTTGGTTCAGTGGTTAATATTTCAAAGTTTGTTAAGTATGAGAGCCTTTAAAGAGATGTTTTTTGTTGATTCAATGAGCTTAATTTAAAAATAATTGCACACATCTTGAATTTACATCACGAGTGAGTCTAATGAACATATACTCAAAACGTTTGGTTATAAAAAAAAATTCTAATCACATTTGATTTTAGATTCGTTTTTCACATCAGCTTCAAATATACTCTCAATAAACTGAGGGGTAGGCAGGTTGANCTCAAAACGTTTGGTTATAAAAAAAAATTCTTATCACATTTGATTTTAGATCCGTTTTTCACATCAGCTTCAAATATACTCTCAATAAACTGAGGGGTAGGCAGGTTGAACCAGATGGATGCCAGAACACACCTCTGTGTGTGTGTGTGTGAGAGAGAGAGAGAGAGAGGAGGTTTTTTCTACTCAATGATATTCACAAGGCAAATAATTCCCTGGTGTGCTTCGACACCCATTTTACAAATATCCTTACAACATGAGAAACCTGTTCCCCCTAACCNTGTGTGAGAGAGAGAGAGAGAGAGAGAGAGAGAGGAGGTTTTTTCTACTCAATGATATTCACAAGGCAAATAATTCCCTGGTGTGCTTCGACACCCATTTTACAAATATCCTTACAACATGAGAAACCTGTTCCCCCTAACCTGATATGAACCCTAAAAACAATTCCTTGTCCTACTTGTAACACAATATGTACATACATAGATAACTACGAATTTTCGCATAATCTCAATGGCAATTAAATGAACGTACAAGAAGTNATCCTTACAACATGAGAAACCTGTTCCCCCTAACCTGATATGAACCCTAAAAACAATTCCTTGTCCTACTTGTAACACAAATATGTACATACATAGATAACTACGAATTTTCGCATAATCTCAATGGCAATTAAATGAACGTACAAGAAGTCCGTTTTCGCAACCATATTGATCAACAATCCAGCTTGCTGCCTGGCCTACTATTCCAATGTGTGGGCATCAATTTCCTCAGTTTCTGCTGGCTGTTATTACCAGCCGTGTCCAAGACTCTTGTCGATGGTGGCATCGTATATGGTTTCTTTACAATGTTGGAATTAGAATGTTTTGTTTCTCCAATTGTGTCCTTGAGCGATTTGCTGGGAGATGTTCTACTTGATCTGGGAGTAGACCAATTTATTGGCCTTTTCTTTGCAGTATTGGTATGACCAAATTCATCACTCTTCTCATTCCCAGAGAGCCTAGGCTTCTTTGACGGAAGGACACCATCTGCAATTTGGACCAGTTTGTCAAGTCCCATTGTAGATTTTGGTACTGCAAATATTTTTTCAGATTTGTCATTTGATCTCGACGTGCAAGCTTTCATGACCTTTTGGGAAGGTTTCTTCTGCCAATTCATCACTCCATGTGGATTTTGCTTCGAGGAACGGGCTGCAATCTCACACAGAGTCTGAGCAGCAGCTACTAGACTTGGAGAATGCCTAGCTGTCACCGTCAATAATTAAGAGATGATAAGGAGAAAAGCACCTGGACAGGTTTAATTTGATGAAACCTTCAAACCAAAAACATAATTCTTAGTCTTACGGAATAGTGATAGTGATGGATCTCGATCTTAATTCTTATGTTGATGTGTGAGCTACTACATATACTCAGCTAATCAAACATGACGTAAATGAGGTAGCATGAACACACTGAATAATACAACTAAACGGAGGGAGAAACTTCCGATGCAGTTTAAACTAAGCTGGCCAGGTGTTAGTTTTACCAACCCAAAATTACTCTCTTGTTTTTCCAGATAAGTGTAGAGTTTGTTTTTGACAATAGTCATATGGTATNCGATGCAGTTTAAACTAAGCTGGCCAGGTGTTAGTTATACCAACCCAAAATTACTCTCTCTCTTGTTTTTCCAGATAAGTGTAGAGTTTGTTTTTGACAATAGTCATATGGTATCTATCAAAGTTGCCAGCCACTGCATCTTTTCAACAAATGATAATGGTCATTCCTCTGTTCACATAGTTCTGATTTTAATTTCTTGTATGTCCAATTCTCTTCTGTTTTGCATCTCCATGGCTTGAATGTGCAGTGCACAAAGACATGGAGGGAGTCGGAGTAAGTAAAAACGAGGATGCAACAAGGATACATCTAAATACTACAAGTATACACAAGCGAACACATGTGTACCCACATTGTTTCTGATTGTAAGTACATAAAAGCAAGGCTAACAATCTAAATATAAATGGTTTTAGTACCATGACCTAGATTAAGCCCCCTTGAGATGAAGATCAAAAGAATATAAGCATATAGGTGAAAGATATAAATTTTGAAGGATAGTTCCTTCTCATGGAAATAGCCACTAAAGAATTTACCTGAAGGAGCCAGGGAAGTTGCGCATGTTGCAGAAGATGATAGACCCCTTTCACAGGAGATCAAGCTATTGGATTGGGCATTTTCTACTTCTGAAGCTCCAGCTGTCAGACCTCTTGAAGGAACTAGACTCTGATTGTAAGTGATTGATTCCAAGTTTGCAACGAAACCAGGCTTGTCCCCAATATAATTAAGAGTGTTCCTTACTTTCACCCATCTACCTTGGCATGTGCTCCGACTTGATGATAATTTTCCAGCATCTGAATAAGATTTACAATGGCTGCCAGCAGTATGCGACCAAGGAAAAGGTGGCAAGCCAGTTCGGTGAGACACAGTCTTGCCTGTGCGTGGATCTGTATTATTCCTTGAAGATAAAACAGGCTTTGCTGCGTCCAGGAGCAAAGAGTCCAAATCCTTGGGTGGAGGAAGTTCAAGGCGCTCCAAAATCTCTTTAGGTGGATATAACTGAAAATTGAGCATATTGGAATGGGAATTCGGATTGATACAAGAATCCTGATCCTTTAATAACAAGATAAGAGAAAACAGAAGAATTAATAAATGTATAAAAGAGACGATCGTTGCATTCCTGATCAAATATTGGGTTATCCTTCTGCAAAACCTAAAGAAGGTTGAATGCCATGGCATCAAATTAGATGGTGAATGTTGGGGGGTTGTGTGAGTGTGTGTGTGTTGGGGGGCGTGGGGGAAGTAAAAGNTCGTTGCATTCCTGATCAAATATTGGGTTATCCTTCTGCAAAACCTAAAGAAGGTTGAATGCCATGGCATCAAATTAGATGACGAATGTTGGGGGGTTGTGTGAGTGTGTGTGTGTTGGGGGGCGTGGGGGAAGTAAAAGCTACACATGCCAGATAGTCCCTTGGTACAAGGTTTTTTTGACTTCCTACCCTGCTATTTCCATGTAACTTTAAAGTTCACATGGATTTACAAAGCAGGGATCGGGGAGCAGAAAGTAGTATACTCAACACCACTGCAGGGGTTAAAGCAATTCCAATATTTCCAAATATCAAAGTCAAGTCAAGTCAAGTGAGAGAGAGAGAGAGAGAGAGAGACAAGAGAGAGAAATTTGATTGGAGTGAGGAATGATTTGATTCCAATCATTATGCCAGCNCAGAAAGTAGTATACTCAACACCACTGCAGGGGATAAAGCAATTCCAATATTTCCAAATATCAAAGTCAAGTCAAGTCAAGTGAGAGAGAGAGAGAGATAAGAGAGAGAAATTTGATTGGAGTGAGGAATGATTTGATTCCAATCATTATGCCAGCATCTTAGATGACAATAACTAAATACCATTATATGCCTCTGTAGATCCTCCCTCAACAATCTAACATTCTGCATTTTAGATTCCTCTTCATACTAACCTTGTTACATGAGGACAGATCTGTAGCATTGGTATCTCCTTTATCACCATCAGTTCTGCTTGCTAAAGAAGAACCAGAGCTCATTAGACAAGCAGAAGAAACCTTCCGGCTGTAACTATTTTCCTCCTCCACACAATTCTGGGGCTGCCCAGGCTTTCGTAGTTGAAGAACAGAGCAAGCCTTTGTGACTGAATGCAGTAAATTTTCAGTTAAATTGGCTGCTTTCTTTCCCTTCTCTTTCACAAAACTAGGACACTTGTAAGTGCCATCAAGGAGCTCATTCAACGACAAATCACCTAAATGCTTTGTGACATCAAAAATATCGGATTTCGAACCATATACCCCTGAAAACAGTATATTTTACAAGTCAAGAATTTTAGAAACGTATGGCAAACTGATATACAATCAAGCTAGAGGAAATAAGGAATATAGGGTGTGCAAAATGACCTCATATCCTTGTAATGCAAAGACCCCACAGTTTTGGACATGCAACAATAAGGAAAGTTTCCAATGTATAATTGTACGTAGAGATTAATCTTAATAGCACACAAGAGATTGCCCCGTATTGTTTTTCTTAAATCAGAAACCTACAAATTACACACTATTGCTAAACTAATACATCCTGACTGTATTTCACACAAAGCTATTTGATGCTAGATATTTCAAACAGGAATCACGACCTCAGAAACGGCTCAAAGCATAAATAACTGGCAACTCGGTCCTGTTCTTGTCCTTTCTTTGGTAAAACTGGTAACTCAGTTCCATGATATTATGTGACACTGATGAACATGGAGTTTGCATAACAGGCAGTGAACTAAACCTGCTACGGAATTACTGAGCAGAGGCCTGAACAAAAAAAATTTACCATGTAGGGGCAAAAATATGATAAGTAGATACATAATATCGAGTGTGATTCGACAATCAAAATTCATACAATGACAAAGCGGCCTGTGATTGAATGATAGATGGAGCGATGCCCGATATCACAAAAATGTTATCAGTCAAGGTAAGTGCACACTATGTTCATAGAGCACCAATGAGGTGATAAATATCAACAATGTGGCAGAAACCCAATAACATAAAGCTACATAGGAATAACAACTCAACAAGTGGAACCTAAACTTTAAATATCACATGTGGCTTTACTGGTAGGGCCTTATCCAATTATCAGTAATAAGATTGTTTCCTAAGATCAGAGGTAACAGACATTTTTTAAGGGTAACTAATAAATGGCAGTCAGGGAAAATTATTGTATATTTAATATTTATGGACACATAATGAAACAATTAAATGCTTTCATCCTTTTTCATTTCCTCTCCCTGTCTCTATCCATTTTTTATTTGGCACATTCATCCTAGAACGACCCAATGGGCAAAAGTGTTGAAATTTTGAACATGAAGTAATGCAATAATGGTTTTGACTATATGTTCTCTTCTTGTCAGTTTGGAGGCAAAAACTAGCNAGAACGACCCAATGGGCAAAAGTGTTGAAATTTTGAACATGAAGTAACGCAATAATGGTTTTGACTATATGTTCTCTTCTTGTCAGTTTGGAGGCAAAAACTAGCAAATTTCATCATTAAGTTGTGAGGTGTTCATGGAAAGATATCGCCTAACAAGGGGCAGAACAGATGAGTCATGTTCATAGAGGAAGAGTATGTGCACTAACATGCCACGACTTAAGCACTGATCTAATCAGATAGCCTTCGGACTTATATACATACTTAGCAATGCACCACGTGCGTTAGTGAAAATTTTTGTAACATCCTTTTGAATAACTTGACTACTAAAGCATTCTTTGTATGACTCAAAATTTCAATAGCAACATAGCTGAATTTTTATGCATGTTATGTATGAGTCGATGCTCCTATCCATGATAATTTATAATTCTACAAAAACAAATTGTGGCCAGTCATAAATTTTTTAAGTTTGAGACTAATAGTATGCAGTAGTGTGCATGTGTGAAATCATACATATCCATATAAATGTATATGTCATAGGAATAGATTGGTTCAACTCTACAAATTAATTTATTGTAGACGATCTACCTTGTTTTATTCTATATCACAGTTGTATTTCATCTATAAGTAAGATTAACTTGTTAATAAGACAAGGGGAATTGTAGGCCGGCCAACAAAAGATACATCCATGCGTTAAATCTAATTACATCTCAATACAATGCTTTGACACATAGGGTGAAAAAATAAANTAAGTAAGATTAACTTGTTAATAAGACAAGGGGAATTGTAGGCCGGCCAACAAAAGATACATCCATCGTTAAATCTAATTACATCTCAATACAATGCTTTGACACATAGGGTGAAAAAATAAACTTCACATCAATCTTTCTTCAATTATCACATGAAAACGTGCAAATATTTGATGGGCTCAATGTGCACATTCGGACAAAATCAAAAAATTCCAACCAGCCACCCAAGATTTGATATATTACCCTTTTTTTCTTAGAAAGTATAACCTAATAGCTTCACCAAACATTTGCACTCATAAATCAATTATTTCTTTGCCATCCAAGATTAATACAATGTATTTCCAATCCTGTGAACTATTAGAACCACACATATGTAGACTTTTTTTCCTTTTTCCTTTTTAATCCGAACTAACGAATAACATATGTAGACTAGCAAAATTACTTCTAACCAATTAAAAACTATTCAAAAAACAATATTTTATATAGGTTACATTACAGTAAACATTCCTCAAGCCAAGGGCAGAGCCATCTTATGCCCAAGGGGCACATACCCACCCTCACAATTTTTTTTTTGTAAGATTATTTATATATATTTTAACTTTTTTTTTGATTTTTTAAATTATACCTACCCTATTGTTTAGTCAATCCTATTTTTTAGCATGATATATCTATGAATTTACTTGTAATTTTGACATTTATTCTAGTAATTATCATAGACATTATAGAGAATATATTTGATTACGTAATTGAATGAATTATAAATAGCTAAGTGATAGTAAAATTGTGGATATAAAGAATAATAAAATTAATACAAGACTTTCAACGCATGAAAATTCATCAAAATCAATTCTAAATGGTTTTAATTAGCCTTTTGTTTCGTAAAAGAATATAAGTATTCTCCTTTTTTTTTTGTCATTTGTATCTAGTATGCTTACGAATTTTAGTTTTTTGAGTTTAATGAAGTTTTAAGTATTAAATAGGACGTAATTAAATATAAATGCATTATCATATTTTTATCAATTGCAAAAAAAATTAAAATTGTTAAAATATTCAATGTCCAACCAAAAACAATTTCTGGCTCAGCCCTTGCCTAAAGCAATACATATTTTTTCATAACAAAATCTTCACATTCAAAACGAATTGAATTTGTCTCTGACCCCATTTTCTTTGAACAATTAGTCTCTCATACAAGTCACATATATTTAAATTATGAAAATAGTGAAGCATGGACACCAGTATCATGCAAGCTATCTCGACCTTCATTCTTTTTCCTCAAAAAATTCTTTTCCTTTTGCGTCCAAAGAAGCCAACATAGAATCATCAAAACTAAATGAAAAACTCTAAATCATACTTCATTTTTTTTTTTGAACAATAAATCATACTTCATAAAAACTATAAACATACATAAGGAGTTTTGAGCTTACTATAAAATCAATAAAAGTTATATCGTATCAGGGGAAATGCTTTGAGGTATCCTTAAAGAAACTATGGAATTTGGAAATCCAAAATTTCGAACAAAGAAGGTGAGCTTTTGTTTTTGTTATTGTTTTGCCCAGATTCTGATATTAATTGAGGGATTTATAAGGAGAGATAAAGAGAGAAAAGTAAAGAGGAAGTGCATTAATGCTATGAAGATGGAAGATTTTGATTGNGTGGAATTTGGAAATCCAAAATTTCGAACAAAGAAGGTGAGCTTCTGTTTTTGTTATTGTTTTGCCCAGATTCTGATATTAATTGAGGGATATATAAGGAGAGATAGAGAGAGAAAAGTAAAGAGGAAGTGCATTAATGCTATGAAGATGGAAGATTTTGATTGTTACAATACTAAAAAATTATGCCATTATGAATGGCTTGATATAGTTCATGTAGCCATTTTTTTAATAATGGAAGTAATTATTCTCCTACATGTAAAAGTGTTGTGATGTATTGAACACTTAAGAGGATCGATAGACCAGTGGAAAGAATAAATGTACAGAATAATGAGCATACACAATATAATTGTCTATAAAAAAAGAGAATTAAAAGTCTTTGTGTGTGTAAAGAGATAGAGGAGGGCGTCTGTTATGGGATACTAAGGGTCCTAATGGATGAGGGCTAATTTAGAGAAATTATATATTTAGTTAACTTTTATGTGGTTAAATTGTATGTATTTAATTTGAAATTAAATATTAGAAAAAATATGAAACCGGTTAACTTTCCTAAGAAGCCGGTTTCATTACACTTGTAATTAAATATTTATTCTTAGAATAGAAATGGTTTAAGAGTTAAAGTAGAAAATAGGATATGATTGTCTTTATATAATTGTTTGAAGGTAAAAAAGAAAAATAAAAGTTTTTCTTTGTAAGTTAATTTTATTAGAAAAAACTTGAAGCCGGTTAACTTTCCTCATATATGACAAGATGTGATATAAGCCAGTTTACTATTGGTAACCATTTATTCATTACACTTGTAATTAAATATTTATTCTTAGAATAGGAATGGTCCAAGAGTTAAAGCAGAAAATAGGATACGATTGTCTTTATATAATTGTTTGAGGATAAAAGAGGAAAATAAAAGTTTTTTGTACTTTTAAAATTAGTATAGATGTATATAAGCCCCTGGGGAAAGTCTTATTGTGCACAACCAATATTCAATACTTTGTAGAACAGGCATGTTTGGTTCTAGAAGCAAAAAGGTAAATGAAGAAAAGCTAAAGAAATTAAATGTACTCCACATACCACAGTAACACTAACATCAACATACACATTAACGAAAGCTGTGTTTAACAAGGTTCCTCTGACTACATGCCAATCTTAAATTCAAATACATGATTAACAACTTAGTTGAAACCACAATTACACAGCTGAATAGCAGCAAATGAAACCACCTCACAAAAACCAGAATGAAAATCAATGAATGACAAGTATTAAAATAAACTACTACACTAATATTGACATACCAAGATTGTTGTTTCCTCCAGCAGTAGAGCTGAAGCTTGCCAAGCCATTCTTTAGCAAGAAAGAATCATATTTACCCTTAATAACTTTACCGTTTCTTTTATCCCCTCGCTTGGCATTTGAGTTACTCTTCTGCTTCCCCATATGAGTTTTCTCTAGAAAGAGTAAAAATGGGAATTGAAATATCAGCACCACAGTACACTGTTTTTATCCCTTTGAGGGGGAAAAATAAATGCACAAGTGAAATATAGATACAAGGGAGGAAACTTTCAAGAGCCATAAACCAAGATGTGTCGGTAAAACTAGTTGCATTTCCAATTTTTATCCATGGTCATTACCTCAAACAAACAGCAAAAGGCAGAAGCATAAAACAAACATAAGAAAACGTATATTTCTCCTCACCACCCTGATTCATTTGAGCACTACTGTTCCATTCTAAAAGCTTAATGTAGCAGCTTGACCATGATTTACGTGCTTAAGATCTCATCTAATAAAAAATGACAGAAAACTAAACCAACAATGAAGAAGCTCCTCTCTAGCTCAATTTTAATAGATAATCCATAGCTATACTACTTCTAAAAGTCCATAGGCATGAAAAACTTTTGTTCTCCTATTTTAACTTTAATTAACTCTTTAAAGACAATTTCCTCTGTATATATTGAAAACTTGAGAAAGATGGGATCATTTCTTGTCCACCTAATGAATCTTTAAAGGGCAATAGATTAAAATTTTAACAGATGAATAATGACCACATTAAAATAAATTTTTTACATTCCCCTCAATTTGTATTTATATCTATATCTATATCTATACTAATCTGTGTCTATATCTATACTAATAATCTATCTATACTAATCTAAAATGCCAACTATTTTTCAAAACTTTTGATTTTCTTTTTTACCCCTTTACAATGCAGTTAGGTCATTTTAATCCTCTCCAAACACATTCTGACCGGCAGCAATTTTAAAACTGTTTTTTTTTTTTTAATCTTTTAACAATAAGATTAATTTAATGGTTCATTACATTTAATCAATAATAATTGCAATTTTTATTGAGTATGCTTGCTCTTCCAATTTAACTAGACATTTGTGCTAATAAAGTCAGCCTTGATTTTTGGCTACCTGTTGCGTACTCCGTTNAATCTTTAACAATAAGATTAATTTAATGGTTGATTACATTTAATCAATAATAATTGCAATTTTTATTGAGTATGCTTGCTCTTCCAATTTAACTTGACATTTGTGCTAATAAAGTCAGCCTTGATTTTTGGCTACCTGTTGCGTACTCCGTTAATCTTTATTTGTTTATCTTGCTAAGAAATTGAAAAGTACACAAAAGCAACTCTAAAGCCGAACTACCAGAAGGCACTAAAGCAACTCTAAAGCCACACAACCTCATTTACTACTTGTAGATAATGCTTGAAATTCCTCAACTTCTAGACTTCCTTGAATTCATTTTTCATCAATTAGCAATTTCAATTGGAAGAATTTTTGGTCCTCCACATTCAACCTTTCTTCATATATAGACGATAAACAAAGCAAGGCAAGGTCTGGGTTCCCTCTTATGGTTCACTACATACACCTCTCCCCCACCTCTACTTTACCGGGCATTGTTTTCTTGTTTTGGTTTTTATTACGGCAATTAGATTAAATTTGCTTGTTTTTTCTGATATGCACTAACAGATTGATCAATGATGAATTTGCATTACACTACTTTAACTGTTGTAACTTGGATTGAATAAAATTTCTAACTTGATCCTGAAATGTTGTTTGCTTTAATTTTTTAAATTACCGACGCTAATTGCGACAGTTGTTTGATTTGTTGCAAAAATATTACATTTAAAATGGTAATTTTCAGGAGTCAGGGTGCTATATTTTAAGATAGTTGTGCGTATTAATAGTCGGAGTTTATAATTAATCTATTTGTTAGCTGTAATTTGAATACAAGTGAGGGCTGAAACTATGAGTTTTGTAATAAAATCCATGTTTTGCGTATGTATTGTGAAGAGTNTGGAGTTTATAATTAATCTATTTGTTAGCTGTAATTTGAATACAAGTGAGAGCTGAAACTATGAGTTTTGTAATAAAATCCATGTTTTGCGTATGTATTGTGAAGAGTTTCCACTCAAATTTGGAAGAGATCCATTGTATCTCTTAGATGTAGTTATACATGAATGAATAATAGTTGGTGTATATTAGATCTCAAATATTCAATGTTGATCAAAATAGAAAGATTAAAGTTTTAGGAAAACATAGTATTTATTGATTCATGTCTTTTGATTTAAACTATTAAATTTGGCGCATTCGAGCTCTAGTATTTGTTCCTAGAAGATTAGAAAACTCAATTCATAAGGATAGAATTGTGATGCATGAGGGAAGGTGGAGACCCTTGAAAATGAGCAATAAAAAAATAAAATTACAAAATGAACCAACAATATAAAGAATAAACACCAGTCTGTAAAGGTACTCTCCTTGGCTGGTGGCCCCGATAGACAATAGGAACGGAGATGCCAAGTTTGCACCCACTATTGGTTGTGTGGAGAAGTATTAAACTTCAGTGATCGCAAGCTATCTCATCTAATGCTTTGCAACTACAATATAAAATTTAGTTGGGTTTTCCTTGAATTGGTACTGAAGTCTAAATAGTCATGCATGGAGTTATGTCCGTTACACTTCATTTGTTGCATGGTCAATGATTGACTCATTTATGAGAGTTGTGTAGACAAGAATTTTGGAGGCTCTATTTTCTTTTTTGCGGTGTTTGCTGTCCTCCTTTGGTTTTTCTTACTATGATTTCTCTTTCCTACTTTTTCTTATTCTCATACTCCGCATTTTTTTTATAAGAAGAAGTCAACTTGACGAAATTTTCTGAACACTTCAAGAAATTAATTTCAGACAACCCAATGTGAGGTGTCTCAAACGAATCAGGATAAGATAAATAGACCACTAAATTGCATCCAAGATTTACAAATATTAGGTGTGAGAGGTCGGCAAGCATGCACCATGCCATTCGATGGCAACTAATAAATGAATGATTAAAACCCCGTCTGTTATGTGTTAGAGATAATTCCGTACAGCCATGTCATGTACTTTAAACTGATATTATCTTAGTTCAACATGAAAATAAGATTTTATCCAAAACAGCTAACAGAACACATGATGTGCATACAAATTTTGTCAAGTAGGACAAATTTTGCGCAAAGTTTCAATTTGGATTGACTCTACTGAAGAACTTAATCTTGAGACAGGACATTACTATTGAAACTATGCAAGTCATATGTTATAGAAACAAATATCTCATAGCTTTTTCCCATTCCGAAAACCATAGGACCATAAACAATGTTCTCAACACAAATAATTGATTGTTTGAAGCAAAAAAGAAGCAAATACTTTAAGACCAGAATATAGAGGCTAAGCAACTCTAGGGTAGGCACTCTCTCATCTTTGGTATCCATGCTTCCAAACCCATTTTCCAAACTTGTGTCTCAAACATTTTTCATTGATGGTGTGCTTAATTAGCCTTGGGAACATTAATTATCAAAAGAAAACAAAGGAAAAACGAAAAAAGAAAAATAGTTGTTTTTTAATTCACATTTTCCAGACTTTGAAGTGATAACGAGAATCACCATGNATTATTCTCATACTCCGCATTTTTTTATAAGAAGAAATCAACTTGACGAAATTTTCTGAACACTTCAAGAAATTAATTTCAGACAACCCAATGTGAGGTGTCTCAAACGAATCAGGATAAGATAAATAGACCACTAAATTGCATCCAAGATTTACAAATATTAGGTGTGAGAGGTCGGCAAGCATGCACCATGCCATTTGATGGCAACTAATAAATGAATGATTAAAACCCCGTCTGTTATGTGTTAGAGATAATTCCGTACAGCCATGTCATGTACTTTAAACTGATATTATCTTAGTTCAACATGAAAATAAGATTTTATCCAAAACAGCTAACAGAACACATGATGTGCATACAAATTTTGTCAAGTAGGACAAATTTTGCGCAAAGTTTCAATTTGGATTGACTCTACTGAAGAACTTAATCTTGAGACAGGACATTACTATTGAAACTATGCAAGTCATATGTTATAGAAACAAATATCTCATAGCTTTTTCCCATTCCGAAAACCATAGGACCATAAACAATGTTCTCAACACAAATAATTGATTGTTTGAAGCAAAAAAGAAGCAAATACTTTAAGACCAGAATATAGAGGCTAAGCAACTCTAGGGTAGGCACTCTCTCATCTTTGGTATCCATGCTTCCAAACCCATTTTCCAAACTTGTGTCTCAAACATTTTTCATTGTTGGTGTGCTTAATTAGCCTTGGGAACATTAATTATCAAAAGAAAACAAAGGAAAAACGAAAAAAGAAAACTAGTTGTTTTTTAATTCACATTTTCCAGACTTTGAAGTGATAACGAGAATCACCATGGTTACTGTCAAGCAAATTGCAATGCATTACAATGATGAAATATAGAATGATGGATTTGCACACAATACTCTATTCAATGATAGTTTAGGCAATATTACTTAGAATTTCTGTTATAATGTGATTCTTCAATGATTAAACATCAAGATTTACTACAAACGTGAATTTCAGCAAACGTGATCCAAGACTTCAACTTACATATCTCATACTTGAAATAGTTCACGGGTATAGTAACTAATGTTAAGCAATGTCCAGTTACAAAAGCTTTTATTTAACAATTTGACCATAACACATGTACTTACCAAAAAAAAAAAATTTCATTCCGTTAGGTTTTACACGAAATCTTAACAAATTTTCTTGAGAAATCTAACTATAATGTTTCCTCTTCNGAAATAAACGAAAAGTACATGGAAAACATTTCGTTTCCAAAAATGACTTCCATACGATCATGTGAAACAGACACTGAGAAACCATAAAAGTTCGCAAGAAACAACTCTGTCACATAGCCAGATGATTTTCATGCGGTCACAGCAACAACAATTCTATACAATTAAATTGGAAAATATATTCAGTGCATGCATGACTAAATCGGAAGCGCATCTTCATAGCGAAATTCACGAAAGGAAAGTGAAACATCAAAAGATCAACCAGTTCATCAAACGAAGTATGGTGCAAAAAAGTAAGCAAGACAGCATAAATTCATGAAGTACAGAAACATAGGGTGAGCAAAACCCAAAAAAGTCACCTCTTTGACTGCGAAAGGAGCTGCCTGCTTCAGTTGAAGGAGTAACGAGCATTGAAACGCGGTCCGATTCCCGAATCTCTATTTCCCCCATTTTAACCCCAACGCCACCACAACCCTCCGATCCCATGAGCTTGGACACAGTAACGGCAGCCGGAAGAGGCAACTCCACCGCATCCATTAAAATCGAAACCACCGCCACCACCACCGACAAAAAACAAGAACATCACATACACTAAAAACCATTTTCTACCAAAAACACTCGCATCACACACGCAATTAAATGAAGAATGAGTCGGACAGAACCATTTTGGGACTCTTATTTCGCTTATTCAGAGCTGAAACGACGGAAGAACCAGGGATTAGGGGGTGGATTGAGTAGAAATGGGAGAGAAATTAGAGATTTTGGCTGTGGAGAGCATGTTGCGGCTGGTGGACGAGAGAGTCTAGGGCACGAAAATAAGGGGTGAGAATGAGAAGCATTTATAGTTTTCGGGAAAAGAAGAATAGTAGGTTGCAGTGGTTCGTCGGTGTGGAATATTCCGGTGAAATTGTCGTTATTCCACACGGGTTTTGTTTGGCACGTTGAACCCCTCCGGGGCTGACGTGGCGTTATCCATAACAATTGATTCAAAATGGTAAGGGAGTGTTCTGGTACAGTTTNCCCCCTCCGGGGATGACGTGGCGTTATCCATAACAATTGATTCAAAATGGTAAGGGAGTGTTCTGGTACAGTTTTGTTTATACGGTTCCACTGAGTTAAGCACTGATGTGTGTCACGTGGGAGAGGGTAAATTACATGCACTTCCCTATAATTTTTTAATTATCTATTTAACCCCTAAATTATAATATTTATATTAATCAAACCCTTAAAGCGTGCTTTGACCTTTCCTCGTTAAATTTAACGGAATTCACATGTCCAAAGAAAAGAAGAGTACAGCACACGAGAAGTTCTGGTTCTTTCTAATCGAAATAATTACAAGCGAATCCAAGTGAGTTGACTTGGGGAGCACGTGCAAACCGCATGCTCTCCATAATCAGCAGATAGGGTTTGGCAAACTTTAGGGCTTCTTTTACATGATGCAATTATAGTCAGGTCCCCCCAACCCCACCACTGTGATACTTCTCTCCAACTCCCTCNAAACAATCAGCAGATAGGGTTTGGCAAACTTTAGGGCTTCTTTTACATGATACAATTATAGTCAGGTCCCCCCAACCCCACCACTGTGATACTTCTCTCCAACTCCCTCTCAATATTCAGAGAGAGAGAGAGACGAGGCAAGAGAGAGAAAGGCAGCGGGAATTGGCGGCCACTCATCCAAAAGCACTAATTGACCAAAACAAAGAAAAATCGCCGTCACTCTCCACCGGAATCATAGCAATGTCATCTCTACATCTAACGGTAGAGAGAGAAAGTGAAAGCTAGGTTTCAACGTTACTTTGTTATTCTGTTTATTGGTATATATCGCTTTTTATAAAAGCTATTCGCTGTTAGATTGATCATACCGTCTTTCTGAGGTGTTAGAGATAGAGGAGGTGTGTGTGTGTGTGTGAATGTGTAGAGAGAGAAGCTAGGGTTTTGAATTTGTATAGTGGGGCTATGGATGAGGCTGTGCTTGATGATATTATACAGCGGCTTCTTGACGCGAAGAACGGTCGGGTGCAGAAGCAGGTGAATCTCACAGAGGCCGAGATTCGACAGCTTTGTATGGCTTCAAAGGAGATTTTTCTCAGCCAACCTAATCTTCTTGAGCTCGAAGCTCCTATCAAGATTTGTGGTAATGAAATATAAGCATTTTGAGTTGTCATTAAATTATTTTATGCTAGTTTTTGTCCAATGTATTCACTATTTGGATCCTGGCGGTTTTCAATTTTTAAGATTATTGCTAAGTTTGAAAACCTTGGCACTTTGCTGGGGTAATTTTGCGTTGTCGTATTAATTGCAGTTTTTTTCATTATATAACCGAGAAAAGTATATTACTGGTGTCCAACAATATCATGATCTCATCTTGTGCATTTTTGTTTCTGATAATATGTAAAGCGACAGATTCCGTCTATTGTGACTGCTACTGTTTCAGTTAAGCCGGCCTCGGAATTTTTACTTTATTTTTACCGTGCGAAAGGAAATTATCTGTTTTTGTTTTGTGTGACGTTGCTGGAAAACTGGCTTTTAAATCTCTGCTATACAAAAGTTAGGTCTTTTTGTAAACTGCCTGTGGATTGACTTATATGCTTAAACGTATCTGGATGGATTCCAAATTGATTAAAAGGGAAAAACCAGAACAATTCTTTGTGTGAAAAGGTGAAAGGTCATCCAACAAGGCCTAGTTGAACTTTCATTAAATCATAGATGTACATGGATATCTGAATAGGGTTTCATAATGAAAAAAGGATAGGTACTTGGTCATTTTAATGTGTTTGGTTTCTATGAAATGAGTTTTGTAGCCTTTTCTAATCCACTTCCTTCCGTCTTAATTTGGACTGTCTGTCAAACCTATGCTTTTGTCTCATTTTGGGCTTTCAATCAGAAAGTAGATTATGATTTGCCTTTGGTGAGGACCATGAGGTTTGGACACAAATGGACCAATCGTAAAAGACCAATATCTTGTCTAAGGATGCTTAACCGCTGCGCCGATCATTCCCCACTCCCGCGGGGGATTGGAGTTGTTGTTGGGGGGAACACCACGAGGTGGTTAATTTATCCAGGGCGGATGCCTCCTACAGGGTAATGGACGTGTGCGAAAATAGGGTTAATTTAATATGCCATTTAAGGTTTATATTAAATGGTCGTACCAAATGCATTATAACTATATGCTTATTTAGAATGGGCATTTACGCACTGTCAACTAAGAAGGTTTAATAATTTCTAACAAAAAGATTCAAGAAAATAATGGGGGCTTGGCCTATTCATGCCCAGCCCTAAGCATCTCCGAGAGTGGGTCATCCTCAGTATGGCCATCAGGGTTTTGCCCTGTTGCCTCGCTTGAATTAAGAGTTTCCGTGCATCATCTGACTGGTATTTTGCAAACTTATTCTTGTTCAAGGTATTCAGATGCGATATCAGCTGCATGGATGTGATCTTTGTCAGAAGTTGGCTGCATGAGAATGCTGCCTATTGGAGCCCCGCGAGCTGCTGAATGCATTAGCAATGTTGATGAAATCTGACCTTTACTCAATATATCATGGCTATGTTCTGCTGCTTTTGATTTGGTACATATTAAGTGGTTTGGAAGTTTAGTTTAACTGCCACAAGTTTGGATGCTTTGTATTGGTGGACAGGTAACTCAAATTGTTCTTAAAGAGGCAATTTTGAAAGAGGGTTCCTTAGTTGATGGCAATTGATTTCTTCTTGATCTATTGTGATTGTTAACAGCACAAGAGTTTGCTTGCCAGCATAATTAAACTTTGCTAATATGTTTCTGTGGTATTGGCATGATCCCAACTAGCTCTGTTCCAGAGGGTTTAGTTTTTGTTTGACAACTGGTTTTCCAATGGTAGCGAGCTTGAACAACACCCAAATTCTATACTCACATACATGCATGGAAGATTCCCTTGGATTATGGAGTTTCGTTTGGCTTCTTTAGGCTTGTGAATGAACCAGTTGACAAGGCTGTAGCCACAATCAACAAAGCTGAGCATCCATTATTTCTGGTTGAGAGAACTTCTGGACGGGCAGCTTTGTATGTTCGACAGCCAAGTTGTTACCACCTATTGTATGTGCACTTGCGTGATGTGTGTGTGGTTTGCCTTTTATTTTTGTCATTCAATATTCTGGTTACTTCAGGTTCATATGACACAGTGGAGTTGGATATTTATACGTGTTGATTTTTGGATTTAATCTTTCTTTTGGATTCTTTCCATGCTAATTTCATATCATTACAGATTTGTTTATAAAACTGCCTTTCCCAGCTGAATCAACTGTGCTTGCTTTCTTGCAAGCACTGTATGCATGGCTTACTCTGTTGCTGTCACCTATCACAACTCTTGTTTTACATGTAATTCCATCTCGTTGAACCAATCAATTTATTATCATTTTTGTTGCTGTGCAGGAGATATTCATGGTCAGTATTCTGATCTTCTGCGCTTGTTTGAGTATGGTGGATATCCACCAGATGCAAATTATTTGTTTTTGGGGGACTATGTTGACCGTGGTAAGCAGAGCATAGAAACAATATGCCTTCTGTTGGCATATAAGATAAAATACAAGGAGAACTTTTTTCTTCTGAGGGGCAACCATGAATGTGCTTCTATCAACCGTATCTATGGGTTTTTTGATGAGTGCAAGAGGAGGTACAATGTTCGTGTTTGGAAGACATTCACAGATTGTTTTAATTGCCTACCTGTTGCTGCTCTTATTGATGAGAAGATCCTTTGCATGCACGGGGGATTGTCCCCTGACTTGAAAAACTTGGATCAGATCAGGAATATAGCTCGTCCAGTTGATGTGCCAGATCAGGGTCTTCTCTGTGACCTGCTATGGGCTGATCCTGATAAAGATACTGAAGGATGGGGAGAGAATGACAGGGGTGTGTCATGGACGTTTGGAGCCGACAAGGTCGCTGAATTCCTCCAGAGGCATGACCTTGATCTCATCTGCCGAGCTCACCAGGTAAGCAAGCATAAATAGCCCCAACCTGTTAGTAAAATCCTACAACTTGCGCTAGCATGTGGAGGTTTATATATGCTGTCTTGATGCATGTTTTCAGCTGTTCACCTAATGCCTCAAGTGATTATATGCTTTAATTCCATGTGCTCATATGGCATACTTGCTATTGACATGAAAAGGTTCAATGAACATTGTGGGTGGTTAATGTAATGATATTTGTACTTAAAAGTTCCTTGGGCATGCTTCTCAAATTCTTATATTATTGAAGTTCTATGCCCGACGTATATTGTATTTAGTGTTAGTTGAATTTCATGGCACACATTCTCATGGGCAATACCATGTGTTTGTGTGTGATATTAGGTTATATAAACTGTCGTGGTGGCCTATTGGCTTAAGAGTGAGTTATTGGTTGCTATGCGAATTGCATGTGATTCTCATGATTATGTACCACAATTCTGTCATGGCGTCTATAACGATTCTGGCTTCGTTTGTGATGCCTAAAGATTTGCAAGTTTTGCAATTCGGATTTCCTTTTCTGTTTATAAGTTGTGCTGGCTTAGGAAGTCTATTTTCGTAAAAGTAATCTGAATTCTGACATAGTAAACTTGTGTCAAAATTTAATTTTAACAATCTCTAGATTTGCTTTTTAATTGTTTTTTTTTTCAGTTTGATTTTTGATTTGTTTTTAGGTCATGATAAAAGTGGGCTCTTTTGTTGGGTATAAGATTTGAGTATAGAATATCTTTCAACATCATGTGTGTATGCACGTATATGATTTGCTTGGTTTTATTTGCTTATTTTATTATTTATTTATCTGTTGTGGTTTTTCACCCACGTGCCGGGGGGGGTGGGGGGGTGATCCATAGGTTGGACTGTTGGTGTTATGGACTCTGATATTGATGTTTCCATATTCATCTTTGTTACTCATCAGGTTGTGGAAGATGGGTATGAATTCTTTGCAAAGCGGCAGCTGGTCACCATATTCTCAGCTCCAAATTACTGTGGAGAGTTTGATAATGCCGGTGCGATGATGAGTGTGGATGATACATTGACATGCTCCTTTCAAATTCTAAAGGCATCGGAGAAAAAAGGGAAGATGGGATTTGGCAGCAACATGTTGAGACCAGGAACACCACCTCATAAGGTAAAAATTGATTAATCAAGATAAAAGGATGAGGCACATAAGCATTAGTTAGAATAAAACAAGAACCGCAAAGATATTAACTTTTTTTTTTGAACTGAGCAAAGATCTCAACTTCAGTTTGTGAAATAATTAACTGTGACAAATGTCACATCAGTTCCTAAATGTTCTCTTCAGCATGCCATTGTAACTTGTGATTTACCATGTGAAGAATTTAAGGTTAGTCCTTTTGTGGTTTATCCTTGGAGATCTGCCAGGGAGACATTAGTTCTTGATGCATATGCTTAACCAATGTGTATAGAAATCAAGGATATACATATACTATTGACAGGCATATGGAAATGAACGTTTAATTCATTCCATGGTCTAGGTAGTTTCTGTAGGTCAATTTTGGGCAAGGAGTGTTGGGGAGACAGAGGTTCCGTTGGTTAGACAGTGGAGGGATTGTATTTGAAAAATATGAGGGTTACATGATGGAAGTTTATTTATCAACCTTGACTCACCAGGCTACACATAAAACGTGATTAGTATAGTATAGGTTATGTTTCCTCCCAATTTTCTCAGCAAGACAAAGCTAATTACAGTTGATACATTCAACATCATTGAAAGAGCTGTGACCCAAGATTTTTTTCCCTTCCTTAATTTCATATAAGTTTGGACTCTGAATTGTTTTTTTGCTATCCTCTTCAGGGTGCAAAGGGTTGAATTATCTGCACCAGGGATGATACTATGAGCAGAGGAGAATTGCAGATGGACTTCGTGTCTGAACTGCTGTCTGTTGAATCATTTTGCATCTTGGGAATTTGTTAGCACCAAGCAATGAAGTTTTAAATCTATCTTCTTTGGCCCCAAATGGGTATGTGAGGGTTAACTTACTGCAATGCTCATAACACACGAGCTGGAGTTGTGTGTTATCCGTGCAATGCAGGTTTTTAATTGTGTAAAATGGAAATGAACTTTACATTGTACTGAATTATCGATGTGCGCTGTTTTTTCTTATGGCAAATACTTAATTCTGTTTGCATCACCGGGGCGGAGTTCTTCAGTGCTAATATGTCATCATTTAAGATTGTTAACTTATCCTTTTTCTTTTCAAATGATCCTTTGATTGATTGATGGCACATGACAATATTGCAAAAACTTGAGATTTTTACTGCCTCACATTCAGTAGGTGGAGTGGCACTTCATATTTGACATTAGTGCGCTACGATTAATTGGTTGTGGGTCTTGGTGCCGTGGTTAAATTGTTTGACTTAGGTGTTATGAGTTCAAGTTGCGCCCTAGGCCTTATAGGGACTGGAGATTTGTGTATTGGAATGTGTTATGATTTGATGTTTCGTAGTCTTTCGGGATGAGAAAGACATGAAACACCATTGGTTTGTATGTTGTACCTCTCGTGACTCTCATCTGAGAAATTCTATAGCTAGAGATGATGTTTGTGGAATTTCATCGACAACTTGTCAGCATCAAAGCATTGGCCAAATTTTAGTTGCTTGATTANTGTTGTACCTCTCGTGACTCTCATCTGAGAAATTCTATAGCTAGAGATGATGTTTGTGGAATTTCATCGACAACTTGTCAGCATCAAAGCATTGGCCAAATTTCAGTTGCTTGATTGTGCCATATGCCTTGCAGTACAAGGCAAGTATAGGGTGTGAACTGAACAAGAAGCAAGAACTTTCCCNTAGTTGCTTGATTATGCCATATACCTTGCAGTACAAGGCAAGTATAGGGTGTGAACTGAACAAGAAGCAAGAACTTTCCCATCTTTAGGTGTGGTCGGGTGGTGTGAATGAGCTTATCCTATCCTTAGGTGTGGTGGGCTGTTCAAGCATTATTGATTGCAACCCTTTGTAGCACTGCCAAAACTAAATCTTCTAGTCTAAGTGGTATGATTGATACGCGGAGCTCACAATCTTAACTCATTATTTTTTAATTTGTTTATTCCGGTCATAAATAAATAGGTTGGGTATTTATATTAATTAATACAGATTTTAAATAGTTTAGGTAATATGATTCATTTTAATTAAACAGGTTAATATGGATTATAAATAGGTATTCATTGAGTTGAATATTTATCTTTTTATTAAATAATACAAGTAATAAAATTAAATAAATATATTAATATACTAAAAAAATACACATATACTATTATACCAAAAAATATACACATATATACTAATACATTAAAACATACACCCACTAGTATACCACTCATGACATGCGGGTTGACCGATGACCCACAGGTCGCATCATAATGCATGGGTCGACCCACACCATGGCCCAATGGGGTGACCCATGCCCCATGACCCACGGACCAATCCATAGCCTGCAATCGACCCAACCCATTATGTGTGTATTTTTTTTTATTAAATGTATTTTAGTTTTTGTGTTAGTCTATGTGTGTATAATTTTTTATGTATTAGTGTATATTTTAGTGTANTTATTAAATGTATTTTAGTTCTTGTGTTAGTCTATGTGTGTATAATTTTTTATGTATTAGTGTATATTTTAGTGTATTAATGTGTATATTTTTAGTGTGCTAGTTTGTATATATTTTGGTGTATTATTGTATTAGTGTGTGTGTCTGTCTGTTGCATTTTGGTGTACTATTAATGTGTGAATATTGGTGTACTAATGTGTATTAAAAATTTTAATTATTCTATGGGTTAACAGATTTAACTCAACTTATTATAACCCATTTATTACGTGAGTAAAAAATATATTGAATTTATTTTAACCCAATTCAATTTAACTCAATCCATAACCAACCAAATCCACCTATTTACCATCTCTACTGAAATGGTTCGTGAATTCCAGACGTATTTGATCCAAGTGAATTTATCAAATTAGTTGAACAAATGGGTCCACAGAAATTGACTATTGTCAATACATCAATTTAAATTAAAAAAAATTTAACAAAATAACACACCTGCCTCCGACAACTGTTGGTTCATTACGGTGGGTGTGGAGTGGGTGGGGATAGAGTATTGTGAGGAACATAATCAATTACCAAGACATTTTGTAAACATATTTATAAATTTATAAAATTTTAAACTTATTTATCTAATTACGATATTTTTTACAAAGTGGAGTTATTGATTCTATTTTTGTAAAATGTTCCAGCAAGCACAAACAATCTCCAAATTATATGAAGTCCATCACAGATTAAACTTGAAAGTGGGGTTGTTAACCCCACTTTTTATAAAATGTCNTTTTTATTAAATAATACAAGTAATAAAATTAAATAAATATATTAATATACTAAAAAAATACACATATACTATTATACCAAAAAATATACACATATATACTAATACATTAAAACATACACCCACTAGTATACCACTCATGACATGCGGGTTGACCGATGACCCACAGGTCGCATCATAATGCATGGGTCGACCCACACCATGGCCCAATGGGGTGACCCATGCCCCATGACCCACGGACCAATCCATAGCCTGCAATCGACCCAACCCATTATGTGTGTATTTTTTTTTATTAAATGTATTTTAGTTTTTGTGTTAGTCTATGTGTGTATAATTTTTTATGTATTAGTGTATATTTTAGTGTATTAATGTGTATATTTTTAGTGTGCCTGTTTGTATATATTTTGGTGTATTATTGTATTAGTGTGTGTGTCTGTCTGTTGTATTTTTGTGTACTATTAATGTGTGAATATTGGTGTACTAATGTGTATTAAAAATTTTAATTATTCTATGGGTTAATAGATTTAACTCAACTTATTATGACCCATTTGTGCGTGCAAGATCCTGCACAATATAAAAAACGAGAACAGATCTCACCCTTGGTGAACTCGAGTGAGCCAGTTGAGTGACCAACCACGCTACTTGGAACAGCCTGCGAGGTCCGGTGGTAACCTGGAACGGCAACGGGAGACCCTGGGGGAGCGGAAGAACGATCCAGTAAGGCTGAAAAAGGTTCCTGGAACAAAGAAGAACAAATTAGAAGGGCGCCGGAGTGTTTTTCGGCGTATCCCCTCCGACGATCTAGTCAGTCTTTGAGAAAGAGAGAGGAAGGAGAAAACACTGAGTGTGTATTGTAGTAAAGAGTTTTTTGTTGCATACCCGTCTTGCCTTTTGCAAGGAGTATTTATACCTCAAAAGCTCATGATTGCTGTCAGTGTAGTCAGTAGGTGATCATTAGGTACAGGCAGTGTGCGCACTGNTATCATTAGGTACAGACAGTGTGCGCACTGATTCTGACGAGGAATGTCTTCTTTTCTTAACTGCTCGGAGTCCCGAGCAATCAATGGATGCCGACGGTACAATGTACTCCTCTCGGGGAGGATGCAATAAATGCTCTGTATTAGGAGCATTTATTGCCTTTCATTTCCGAGCCTTACCGCATTGAATGCGGTCTCATCAAGGGAATGGTGTAATTAATAGTTTGCTTTCCCAAGTCGCGTGTCAGCAACGGCATGCGGTTTGTCTGTCTTCGATGTGATATCATATGCCACGCGTCCATCCCCCATTGGCTGTGGCCCCTGCATTCCAGTACGTTCTGACACTAATTGTGTAAGACGAGGTCATGATGAATAGCCTAGACTAGCCTAGGCTAATGACCTGTACGTCAATAGCTTATCCTGGAGTAGAGGAAGCGTCCAGGACGGGGTACCTCTTGGCACCGAGGAAAGGCCATCTCGGAACCGAGGGAGGTATACCGACCGAGGTACCATATCAGACCGAGACTACGTGTTGGTTGTAACTCGTACTGAATGCCATGATCCTATATGACGAGTACTTCGGGGGCGAGGACCTTTGTGCGCCGATGGTGCTTGATCTTAGTAACAGTGTTTTGGTAAATACCGAGGACACGTGTCTTCATTATGGAGTATTTCAGAAAAGTCCAATCACCATTTATTACGTGAGTACAAAATATATTAGATTTATTTTAACCCAATTCAATTTAACTCAATCTATAACCAACCAAATCCACCTATTTCCAATCTCTACTGAAATGATTCGTGAATTCCAGACGTATTTGATCCAAGTGAATTTATCAAATTAGTTGAACAAATGGGTCCACAGAAATTGACTATTGTCAATACATCAATTTAAATTAAAAAAAATTTAACAAAATAACACACCTGCCTCCGACAACTGTTGGTTCATTACGGTGGGTGTGGAGTGGGTGGGGATAGAGTATTGTGAGGAACATAATCAATTACCAAGACATTTTGTAAACATATTTATAAATTTATAAAATTTTAAACTTATTTATCTAATTACGATATTTTTTACAAAGTGGAGTTATTGATTCTATTTTTGTAAAATGTTCCAGCAAGCACAAACAATCTCCAAATTATATGAAGTCCATCACAGATTAAACTTGAAAGTGGGGTTGTTAACCCCACTTTTTATAAAATGTCACAGTTTAGTAAATAAATTTCAAAGTGATATGATTGGTAGATATTTCACGAATTACATTTTTTCTTAATTTTTTATGATAAATTACTTAATATGAATTTATGTGAGATCTATTAATTATAAATGAACGGTTACTTATACATGATAGATAAACTTTCTTTAAAGAAAATTAAATAAAAATATAATAGAAGTTATTTTAATAAAATAAAAAGGACTTTATATTTCACTAACACAACAACAAAATCAGTAATTTTTCAAGGTAAGTGAAAAACATTAATGTTAATAAAAAGATCTATCAAAAGAAGAAGGTAATGATGTAAGTATCAAAAAAAGTCTATCAAATCAATATAAATTGTTAGACGAGTGAATTCAATCAAAAAAAATTAATAAATTCTAGTAATTCAATTATCCCCTTTATTTAGTAAAAATTTTCATTAATCACAGCATTACTCAAAAGAAATGAGAAATGAATAAAAAGGAAGAAAGCCACATCAAAATGGTATGGTAAGCTGATGCCACGTAAGCTTTTAAATTTATAGGACCACAAACCCGTTTAACACGTCATTTCCCGTTCACTAATTTTTTATTTTAAAGCGCCGACTAAAGATCTCGGATTAATATTTTGAATAAATTATATAAATAGCCCTTAAATTATAATTTTTTTTTATCAATTAAGTCTCTGAACTATTTTTAGTGTTAATTGAACCCCTAGAGTTCTTCGAAGAGTTTATTAATCTGCTTCGTTTGATAGATATTTATCTAGCAGATTTTGAACAAATAATTTAAAATACTTTTAATCTATTATTCATGTGGTGAGCATGTGAGATATTCTGTCAAAAAATTTAATCATTATTAGTAAAAAGACTTAGTTTCTAAAATTTTAAAGTTTAAGAATTTAATTAGCATAAAAATTAGTTAAAAAAATTAATTATTAAAATATTTGAGATCAAAAATTCAATTGATACGAAAGTTATTTACTCTAATATTTTTCATCTTTGGAAGCCTGTTGTACTGGGAGACGGAAGAGAGAGAGAGAGAGAGAGAGAGGGACGGAGAAGAGAGAGAAACTGTGTAAATGGCCGGAATGACTGTGACTCCGGCGCCAATGGCCGTTACGGACATGGGTAATGGAGGCAATAATGCTGTAACGGCATCGTATGTGAACTCGTTTCGCATATCTGCTGTAGCGGACCGCTTAGCGATGCACGTCCGCGCTACGCCAAAAAGCAACGCTTTTGAGTTCTTCAATCTCTGTCTCTCCCTTGCCAGGTACTTTATACTTCAGATTTTCTACTCCATATCCGTAATACGATTACTTAAATTCCCCTGGCTGAATTTGACCCGTTTTAATTTTACGGTTTCGTTTGATTTCTTTACTTGTTTTTACGGGTCTTTGTTTATAGAAGCTTATGTATAGTTATTATCTGAGTGATTTTGTTTATGTAACTGCTTAGGTCTAGTTTCGATTTCTTATGTTGTTAATGTTGGTGAGGAAATTGTTGAGAGTGTGTTGTATAGAGTTGTCATTGTCAAAATTGAATCTGGTTTGGGACTTATAGGTTGCTTGTATACAGAATGCCATACACACACACACGCATATTAGGTTTAAGTAGGGGTGGGACTTGGTTCGCGTGATCCTGGGACAAGCTACTATAAGATTTTGAATCACCGACTATAAGATTTTACAATTGGGACAAGCTTGGGTAATGTGGAATAAATAGTTGTACACTGATATAGTATACTTAAAATTGAATGATATTTAACAATTTAAATGTTGATCACAAATTTATCTATGGCACATGTACAAAACTCACATTCCTAATTAGACTTAACTTCCACCCACGACTCACAAATTCCTCTATCCCACGTGTATAAAAATCAGATCTGTATTCAGACTTAACTTCCACCCATGTTTCTATCTATTGTTAATTGATTCCGCATCACGTGCCACGGAAGCTTGTGTGAAGAATGCAATAAAGAACACTTTGAAGAGTAAACCAGTTTCCTGTTCAGGCTTTTATTTGCTTTCTTGTATAAAAATTGGAATATTTTTCTATTTTTACTTTTATGATACGGTTCATGCTGCAAACCTGCTGTCATTATTGTTAATTAACTTTCTTTCCATTATTATTGGTTCTTCATTATCTTGCAGGGGTAATATATAATGTTGCCGTTGTCCCTGTTTCTTTTATGTTTTACCCCATGTTATTGTGATCCTGGAGGAGCATAACTTGAAGCAATCTTTATTGTTTTCATGCTCATACTCAACACAGCTGACTAGACCTATTTTGCAAAAAAAACAGGGGGATTGACTATTCTGTTGCAAACCAGGAGGTTCCAGGTGGAGTTCAATATTTACCTAGATTGTTGAAACAGGTGACTTCTATTATACGATATGGTTGTCAAGTTTAACGTTCTCCTCAGCTATGGTTGTTGGATCTCTCAAAAGAATCCTATAATTTGGACATCATAGCCATGTTCAGATTTTTATTCAAAACGCACGTGAAAAAATTTAGATTATAAAATTTTTATTAGATTGTAATTATAAATTGTGTTTTAGTATTTCCATGTTGTTGCATACCAAAAAAAAAAAAGANAAGTTCTTCGAAGAGTTTATTAATCTGCTTCGTTTGATGGATATAAAAAAATTTTAGGTTTAAATTTTCGGTTGATGGATATAAGGAGTTTTTTATCTAGCAGATTTTGAACAAATAATTTAAAATACTTTTAATCTATTATTCATGCGATGAGCATGTGAGATATTCTGTCAAAAAAATTAATCATTATTAGTAAAAAGACTTAGTTTCTAAAATTTTAAAGTTTAAGAATTTAATTAGCATAAAAATTAGTTAAAAAATTTAATTATTAAAATATTTGAGATCAAAAATTCAATTGATACGAAAGTTAATTTAGGAAGGGTCAGGACTACTTATTTATGCCGTTTACTCTAATATTTTTCATCTTTGGAAGCCTGTTGTACTGGGAGACGGAAGAGAGAGAGAGAGAGAGGGACGGAAAAGAGAGAGAAACTGTGTAAATGGCCGGAATGACGGTGACTCCGGCGCCAATGGCCGTTACGGACATGGGTAATGGAGGCAATAATGCTGTAACGGCATCGTATGTGAACTCGTTTCGCATATCTGCTGTAGCGGACCGCTTAGCGATGCACGTCCGCGCTACGCCAAAAAGCAACGCTTTTGAGTTCTTCAATCTNAACTTTTAGCAATGACAAAAGTATTTGACATGAGATGGTTCAAACATATAAAATCGGACATTATTGTCGTATTTCTTAAAGTATAAAGGAATTGAAAATGAACAATGTTATTTTGGACTAAATTTATTGACCTAATTCATTATAGTTCTTAGATTGACAGTGAGTTCCATTAAACATTAAAATTTGATATTAATCTAATAGTTACAATAAAACTACATTATCTGGTTAGCAGATTAAGTCAAATTTTTAGATAGAAATAACATTATCTATATATGAAACATACGTAGTACAAAATTAATATGAGAAGTTCTTACTTGAATATGAAAACACGGAAAAAAATCATGTACATTGAACACTAACTAAAAAGGAGAAAAAATCATGTACGTTTACATAGTTGTGCCAAATTGGAGAAATGAGACAAAGTCTCCTCGGAGTGAGAGAGAGATAGGAGAAAGAAAGAGATATACCTGCGATTGGAGAAATCTGGCGTCGTTTCTATCGTCGTCGCCAAATCTACTCATTGTAGCCATCGCTAGAGAGAGAGAGAAATAGACGTGAGATGTAGAGAGCATCGGGTTTTTAGGAAGCCAGAAGCCATAGTCGTGAGATGTTGAGAAAGCAATAATCTAGATTTCTGCATGATCGATTTAGCAATTACCGTGTGGAATGGAATGAGAAATACCATGGTAAATTTGGTAATGCCAAATCCCATGATTTGTGGTATTAGATATTCCCTTAGAAAAGGAATGGATTTTAAATCCTCTCACCAAACATTAGAATGGGCATTACCATGGAATGCCCATTCCATTCCTAACCCCTAATACCACATACCAAACATTGTGTTTAGGCTTTTTAGAGACCTTCCTTTTCTGAGCCTATAGTGGTGGTTTTTGCTTAATCTGGCATGTGAAGGACACACCTGAGTTATTCAAACAAAAACCCCCAAAATAGATATTAAAAACAAACATATTACATGTATCTGTAGAGACAAAAAGTGACCATGGGTGAAGAATCATTGGGATGGTTTGATTTGGAGAAAGAAGAATAGTGAGAAAGAGCCATGGCCTTTTCTTGATCCTTGCCAGCATTAGTTTGGGTGGTCTCACATTGATGCTTTATAATGATTTTCTCATTAACCCTCTTAGTTTCCATTGTTGTCTCGGGTTCTCTCTCTTCTTTTTGTGAAAAATTTCGGACATATATATGCTATCACGACGTGCGGTGAAGTTGGATTAATAGAATTCCACTCCACATCAAATAATAAATCTATATAATAAATTAGGACGGATTTTGAATTCCAGACTTACGACAGCACCTCAATGATTGAGATTGCTTTAATCCTCGTCCATCTTCATTCTAAGGGAATTCCAGACTTACGACAGCACCTCAATGGTTGAGATTGCTTTAATCCTCGTCCATCTTCATTCTAAGGCTCAAATTTCATCTAAAAAAAAATTCCCCTAAAATTCAATCGTCCTCCACTTGAAACCCATCCCCTCACGTCACCTCCAGCCCTTTGCAATATCTGCCCATCCCCCTTCTCTCAGTCACACATGCATGCATCACACACACACATCACATAGCAAACACATAAACCATATTTTAATTTGATTAAATTAGATTAATTTGATGAAATTTAATTTAATTTTTTTATTCTTTGAAATTGTATTTTAATTTAGATAAATTGTTGATAATTAAAATTTTTGGGTATTAATGATATTTTTGGAAATCAAACATAACCCAAATTTCAATAGGGCATAATTTTTATTAAAAAATTATTTACAAAACTCTTATGAACAGAGACCGAGGTTGTGGGTGGGTGGGTAGTTCAAGCGAAGGGGTGATTATGTGTGTGTTTACCGGTAGTTCGGTGGTGGTGTGGGGATAACGGGAAAGATTATAGAAATTGAGAGGTAGAAACTGACACTGCGTGTGATGGAGGAGAGAGCTAAGATATAGAGAGAATTAGGAAATCCTATGAATTTGAAGAGGTGTTCTTTAATTGATACTGTTTCAGCTTTCAATGACTTGGGAGTTACGAAACTCCAAGAAGCCTTCTTTAATTGACAATGTTTCAAGAATTTTTCGAATTGAATGAAAAAAAGAGGAATGTTTTAGCATGTCATAGAGATAAAGTCTATCTAGCTATACTTCTAATAAAGGAGTTCAAAATATTTTGGAAGTCCAGTAGGTATGAAAGATAGAAAAATATGTAGGTATAATTGACTTATGATAATAATTAGGGATAAAATAGGAAATCTACGAAACTCCAAGAAGTCTTTTTTAATTGACAATGTTTCAAGGATTTCTCGAATTGAATGGAAAAAGCAAAATGTTCTGGCGGGTCATAGAGATAAAGTCTATCTAGCTATACTTCTAACATGAGTTCAAAATATTTTGGAAGTTCAGTAGGGTGTGAAAAATAGAAAAATATGTAGGCATAATTGACTTTATGATAATAATTAGGGATAAAATAGGAAATCAAAAGTTTTTCAGATCTTGACATTTATAAGTAGTATATATAGACGTTTGCCCTTGTGTGTGCCATCGTGAAGTAGAAATCACTTGGCATTAATATATGCTAGAGTTTTATGGTTCGTTATAAACATGCCTTATTTTTCCTTCCTCCATATTGCCACTTATTCTTGTTGTGTCCTCATCTTGAAATAGCAATCACTTGGTATTAATATAAGCTAAACCACTAAAGGTCTACAGTTCATTATTAGCATGCCTTATTTTTTCTCTCAAAATTTCCTTTTATTCATGTTATGTCCTCATTTTAAAGACCAACAGTTTTTAGATAAAATATATTTAAGGCTCACGTTCATATCACGGGGCATAGGTAAACCTGCATTTTTCTTGTGATACTTTCCATTTTGCCATGTATTCTACATCCAGAATGCTCTATAGAAGCATATATTTTTAGTCATTCATCTCCTCTACTTCTGGGGCAATGCTATTAATTTTCCCTTCCAAAGGGAAATCTAACTGGGGCATGGGTAAACCTGCATTTTTCTTGTGATTCTTTCCATTTTGTCATGTATTCTACATCCAGAATGCTCTATAGAAGCAAATTTTCTTAGTCATTCATCTCCTCTACTTCTGGGGCAATGCTATTAATTTTCCCTTCCAAAGGAAAATCTAACTGGGGCATGGGTAAACCTGCATTTGTCTTATAAAACTTTCTCCATTTCATGTATTCCACATCCAGAATGCTCTGTAGAAGCAATTCACCTAGTCACTCATCTCCTCTAATTCTAGGCCAGTTTTCCCTTCCTAAATAAAACTATGTAAGTTGTATCTTTGTTGGCACATGGCACTTTCTAGTTTTATAATTATGAACTAAATAGACATTCCTCCACTTTCAGTTGTAATGTTGGAAGTTAAGACGGAAAAGAGATTTGCCCATTTAGGCATTTCAGATTGCGTGGGAAAAATGATTGGACAGCTTGAAGTTTTTTTAGTAGACCAATTTTATTGAAAGCAAATGGTTCTAGAACTTTCTTGGAGCATGTGGTTACAAAATAAACTCAAATGACACAACTTGATTAATAGGAAGATAGTCCCAGCAGCCTGTAATCTTCACTGACGTAATTTTAAACCAACTTGCAAGATGGCGCTGAGCCGCCCTCAAGAAATTCAAATTTTCCCTTTTCTTTTTCACAGGTTCCACATCAACCAGTAACTTTTAACTGCCTCTATTTTTGCAATTGTTGACCACTGTTACTCATGGTCAATCAAAGGTTAGCAAGGGCCTCATCTTGTTTTGGATTGATGCCTACTTCAAACTTCTCACAAATGCATGCTTCCTTATTTTGTGGTTCGTTGTGTTGTCACTCATGTCTTTTAATGCCCTCATTTGACACCTCTTACTTTTCTGAACATATTGTTTATTAGATTCCCAACATTCATATCATGGGGCATAGCTAGTGCTGTATCTGTTAAATTTCCCAGTCACTAAAATCTTGGAGCACTCGCTGGCTTTTATTCTGTGGCTATGTGCTCAATTTCCCCTTTTCATGAATGATTGTTTTCAACATAGCAAGAATCTCACTTTTGGTTATCTCATGGNTTGGCTTTTATTCTGTGGCTATGTGCTCAATTTCCAATTTTCATGAATGATTGTTTTCAACATAGCAAGAATCTCACTTTTGGTTATCTCATGGCCTCTTTTTTCTTGCTGCTATGAGAACATTGGTTGTATATATCTACGCTTCATTGTATTTTGTCTCCCCTGTACCATTCTAGCCCTTGAATTCTATTTAATGCAGCTTTTGTCTATTCTTGGACGATATTGTGTTTCATATGGTATTTTCTAGGGTTTCATGCTTGGATATTTTGTGGAATACTAACTGTCAGATCTTTGCTTCTACCCGACATCTGTATGCGCTTATGTCTGTTACAGTGATTACCTGAAGGTGTCCATCATTTCTTTCCATCTTGTTATGCTTTAATAGGTGTGCCAAAGTAAAAACGATTCCCTCCTGCAAGCAGCAATCATGGTGCTGATGATCTCTGTGAAGGTATAATTTTAATACACATTTTTTTTATGGAGATCAAGTACTGAATGTTGTTTGCCACTCATCATAATGTGTATGCAATCGATGGCTACGGCTTAAAGGAGCTGGATATATGATAAAGTTGTATAGCAGTTCTTCACTCCTCATTTGTGAGTCCGATTGTTGTGGTTGTGTTTCCAAGTCTAAGGGGTAGCCTTCTAAATTGATGCATTGATGTCAGTGTGAAGAAAGAGTGTGATTTGGTCTACAGAATAATCAATAATGATGTTTCTGTTCTGTTTTGGAGAGACCAGCTTTGGGGCTTGTGTGATGCACTACTGAACAAATATCAGAAACTGCTTGTGATGTCTCGCAATCTTGGTTCTTTATTTGGCTAGACATAGATTTCTTTGTGTCTTGTCATATCTGATTCTGATAGCAAACTCCAGTCTTATTCCCATTGATATCCAAAGAAATGATTTTTCAGTTCATTTTTGTTTTTTTTTCTTAGTTCTGGATAAATTTAATGGCTTGCAATTTGGTGTCAAGGATATTCATTTACTTGTTGGTTGCACATTATGTCGACACAAAGTTGCCAAAAATCGTTCCACCCCAACAACCCACTATCTAGGGGCAATGACCCCAAACAGGACTCGCGACATAGATCGCCAAGACTTCCGACTCCATATTGTAATTGTAACTTTAATCCAAAATGGATTCGTTGGAACTCTCATCACAAATATGAAATAAATAGTAATTGGTTATGTNGTTTGAACCTCATTTAGGCAGAGTTCGATGGCAATGCTGCATGTGTACCAACTATTGACTGTCTTGGTCTTTTACTCGATTACTCCATTGTTTTAAGCTTTTAGCAAAGTCGGTCCAAGGGCAATATGCATGTTGCATGCCACTACTGATATGAATGCTTGGCTCTGTGGCTGAGAAGTAATTCGAAAAATGTGTATCTCTTTTTTCTTTTTTTTCCCCCTTTGATAGTTGGGTTGTGGCCCATATGATGCCAGACACCTTTTGTTGTCTAAAACTAACATGGTAGATGTAATTGGTTGCTGGTGCTTTAAAGAAGTGTAGCCTACACTACAACTGTTGCACAGATTTATTCCACCTGCTTAGATTGTCAGATTCACCTTCAAGTTCTTTCAATCAAATATATTAAAATTGTTTGGGTTGATATATGCTCACGATTTCGTTGTTATGATGAATTAGGCTATTCTTATTTTTTTTCCCAACCATTTTAGTCCCCCCCCCGCCCTTCCTTTCCCTCTTCCCCTTGTGAAATACTTTTGCATAAGTTCCAGCGTGTGTGTTTTGCTGTCATGTGTGAGCCTAAGCTGCACCCCTGCGAATTGCAGGGTAAAACTAGTATGTCACTGTTGTGTTCATCTTTGTTGTTGTTTTTTGTTAGTTTGGTCGCCTCGTTTATTTTTAAATGATTGCAAAGTATATTATGCCAATATTATGCTACCTGGAACTGTTACTGTTGTGCTTATTTTTGCCTGTTGGGCCTGTGCTTTCTCATGTTTGTTTTTGCAATATTTTCTCAATTAGTTGGGTGGGGGTTTTTGTCAAGAATTGTGATTGAATTGTTTCAGTGACCATGATGGAAAGATTGGTTCTTACTCAAATCATGTGTTACAGTTTACTGAGTTTCCTTTGTGTATGTTATGTTTGAGCACGTTTTTGATGTGGCTGAGTGTTGAATCACTGGTCAGTATTAATAACCTTAGTAATTGAATTGTACTTTGAAGATTCTGTGTGTGTGTGTGTGNTTGGTTGCACATTATGTCGACACAAAGTTGCCAAAAATCGTTCAACCCCAACAACCCACTATCTAGGGGCAATGACCCCAAACAGGGCTCGCGACATAGATCGCCAAGACTTCCGACTCCATATTGTAATTGTAACTTTAATCCCAAATGGATTCGTTGGAACTCTCATCACAAATATGAAATAAATAGTAATTGGTTATGTGTGTATGGAAATATAATTGAATATAATCTCAGATAATAAGAAAACAATCACAAATATTAAATAAAAGTAGTTGACTATGTGTGTAATTATATAAAATTTCATACAACAGTTAAATTGATCCGGACAAGAGTTCCAAAGCAAATTGGTAACCAAATTAACGTATCAGTTAAGTGTACTCCCATTGCACTGTGTATCCAAAAAAGTGTCATATTGTGTTTCTGTACCTGAACTACAGACCAAATCACCCCCCCCCCCCCAATGCAGTTAACATTATGCCAACTTCACCTATTTTAAAATTTCAATTTCTTTCTAAAGGTAGGCCGGAAGTCTCAACTCTCAATATTTTATAGCATGAGGTTTATGTGCCTACTGAGCCTTTTTCCTCATTCCTCTTTTTAAATTAACATTTTCCCTGATGTCTTGGTTTAATTGTGTTCCCTTTGGCGATTGCATATGTACTCTGTGAATTGCTCTTCCACTCTAAATGTCTCTTTAAATGTGTTATCAATATTTTTTGTATTTTCCTCTTTTTATTGAATGTTTTATGCTGCACTTTTCTTTGCATAGAATGCTTGTCAGAATGGATGGTTTTTGGATGAAGATTCCAAAGAACTTCTTAGTCTTGCTAACGAGGTTTGTAAATAGTTTCCTGTAATTACTTATAATTGATTTGCAATTTTTTTCTAGTTTGTGGCTTCATATTGTGTTGATTTTCTTAATTGCTTTCGGTCTGCATAGTTAGATAGGGAGCAGCTTCTGCAGTGGAAATGATATTAACACCGAAGCAAGCAGTTCTCTCTCTGCTATATCAACTATTATGTCAAGGTAGAAACTTTTCAATCTTTTCTTAATTGGTTTGGAATATTCTCATTTGTAGTTACAGCTATTCTTAGATTGTCCGGTATTGATTCTGTTAAAATTTTGAATTCTGTAAGTACATGTGTATTAATCATGTTGGACTTGCACTGAGGGGGAAAAAGTGATATGCTTGTTATTTTTGGGCATAGGGTAAACAAGAAAGGGACATGATGGGGCCTAGGTGTCCTAGCCCATTATAGGTGATACACTTATTACAAGAATTATATCAAGGGCTATTCTTACTGGTTATTCATTACTTGATCATAGTGATTTTGTAGGTGCTGACAATTGGTTTGCATCTTCTTGTCTCTTTGAACCTCATTTAGGCAGAGTTCGATGGCAATGCTGCATGTGCACCAACTATTGACTGTCTTGGTCTTTTACTCGATTACTTCATTGTTTTAAGCTTTTAGCAAAGTCGGTCCAAGGGCAATATGCATGTTGCATGCCACTACTGATATGAATGCTTGGCTCTGTGGCTGAGAAGTAATTCGAAAAATGTGTATCTCTTTTTTCTTTTTTTTCCCCCTTTGATAGTTGGGTTGTGGCCCATATGATGCCAGACACCTTTTGTTGTCTAAAACTAACATGGTAGATGTAATTGGTTGCTGGTGCTTTAAAGAAGTGTAGCCTACACTACAACTGTTGCACAGATTTTTTTCCACCTGCTTAGATTGTCAGATTCACCTTCAAGTTCTTTCAATCAAATATATTAAAATTGTTTGGGTTGATATATGCTCACGATTTCGTTGTTATGATGAATTAGGCTATTCTTATTTTTTTTCCCAACCATTTTAGTCCCCCCCCCGCCCTTCCTTTCCCTCTTCCCCTTGTGAAATACTTTTGCATAAGTTCCAGCGTGTGTGTTTTGCTGTCATGTGTGAGCCTAAGCTGCACCCCTGCGAATTGCAGGGTAAAACTAGTATGTCACTGTTGTGTTCATCTTTGTTGTTGTTTTTTGTTAGTTTGGTCGCCTCGTTTATTTTTAAATGATTGCAAAGTATATTATGCCAATATTATGCTACCTGGAACTGTTACTGTTGTGCTTATTTTTGCCTGTTGGGCCTGTGCTTTCTCATGTTTGTTTTTGCAATATTTTCTCAATTAGTTGGGTGGGGGTTTTTGTCAAGAATTGTGATTGAATTGTTTCAGTGACCATGATGGAAAGATTGGTTCTTACTCAAATCATGTGTTACAGTTTACTGAGTTTCCTTTGTGTATGTTATGTTTGAGCACGTTTTTGATGTGGCTGAGTGTTGAATCACTGGTCAGTATTAATAACCTTAGTAATTGAATTGTACTTTGAAGATTCTGTGTGTGTGTGTGTAGATTCTATCCACAAATGAAAATGGGTCAGATACTTGCTTTTCTTGAAGTCAAGGTGCGCATTGCCTTTTATCTCTTTGTCATCTTTCCATTTACTTTAAAGCACTTGAAGGACTTAATCTGTTGTTTTTACTATTGTAGCCTGGGTACGGCACGTATCTGGTTGACTTTCATATTTCAAAGGATGTGAAACCTTCTCCAGAAGATAAAATAGTAAGCATCTCTCAAACCAACTAAATTTCACAAATTGTCTTGCATGAGTATGCACAAAATATATTGTGTCGAACAAAATATTCATTATGTTTTGTATTTTTTCAATCTGATAAACTCCGGATTTATAGCATAAATTTTGATGCAGTGATAGTTGTCTTTTTTGCTGTTGAAGTGCATGTGATGCTTTATTAATATCTATTAAGGAATAAGGTTATAAACCAGTGGTCATTCCGTGTGAAGATTGTTGGGAGGGGTTGATTTGGTACCAATAATTCCAGTATCACTCTNCTTTGAACCTCATTTAGGCAGAGTTCGATGGCAATGCTGCATGTGCACCAACTATTGACTGTCTTGGTCTTTTACTCGATTACTTCATTGTTTTAAGCTTTTAGCAAAGTCGGTCCAAGGGCAATATGCATGTTGCATGCCANACTTTATTAATATCTATTAAGAATAAGGTTATAAACCAGTGGTCATCCCGTGTGAAGATTGTTGGGAGGGGTTGATTTGGTACCAATAATTCCAGTATCACTCTCCCTTNATTGTGAATCCTGATTTTCAGCTGAATTATATTGTTGGCTCCCTACTAATTTATTTGTATTGTTAATCTTAAACAGCTTCAGGCGCATTGTAACTCCTGTGAAAGGATGTNCTCCCTTCAGACAGAAAATCAGAAGGGGATTCAAAGGGGTGGATATGGTGGTAGGTACTTGCATGTGCATGGGCTCCCACACATTTTGTGCATGGGTTGTGCTTGTGGGTGCTAGTCCCAAAAAAAAAAAATCTGTCAAAAAAGGAAAAATTGTCAGGTTANCTTATATGTTATCCTAATCAGTGGAGGTGGAAACATCTACATGTTGGTCCCTAATCTGAAGACTTTTGTAATAGTATGAAGACTTTTGTGATGTGATTAGGTTCAGATAATCCTTTCTCTTTCANTCAATGCAGTTTTCAACTAGAGGCAGTTCATAGATTTCAGCAATATGTTACTTGTTCGGTTCGAATATCTGCCATCAACCATTTCCTCTCTGTTTTTTCTTCTTGGGCATGTTATGTGTATTGTCCTCTTATTAGTCAGTATAATGAGGGTGCATTAAGGCTATAGCCCAGACTATTGCTGTGACTTAATACTAATTGGAATCTTACCGTGTTGTTCTATAATTGTTTCATCATTCTACATTTACTTCTTTCATTTTGTAGATGCAAAAGCTAGAAAACATGAACATAAAGTTGGAAATATCAAGATTGATGATTTTATTATTTAATTTTCATTTTTCCTGCAGAGGCTATTTGTCGCTCAAACAGATAATATGGATACGTCTTCGTGTGTTATAAGTCCACCACAAGTAAGGTATGAATCTGTTCCCCCTTTTCTTTTTTGACTGAATGGTTTTATACTGAATTTATTCTGAATAGCTGTTCTTTTGTCTTTACATTCTATAGCTTTCTGTTGAATGGGAAGGGAGTGGAGAGAAGGACTAATGTTTTCATGGTTTGTGTGGATGTTATTTTGAAAGAGTTGGTATATATTTTCTATAATGTATGATGTAACTTCTAGCACGTGGTGATTTATTAGTGTCTTATTTTTCCTATCAGGACACAGGACCGCAGATTCCGACAGTTGTGATGCATATGCTGAAATATGGAACAAATCTTCTTCAAGCTGTGGGACAGTTTAACGNATAAGACATTCATTGGACCAGCAATTCTTTATGGGATGAAATGTTGGGCTGTTAAAAAACAGCACGTGCAGAAATGAGAATGTTAAGATGATGTGTGATAAAACGAGAAAGGATAGAATTAAAAATGAGTATATTAAAAAACTGTCCAAGTAGCACCAATAGGAGATAAATTAAAAGGGAATTGACTTAGGTGGTTTAGACATATTTACAGAAGACCTAGTAAAGTATTGTCGAGGAAGAGTGATTTGATACATAGAGATGGTAATGTGAGAGGCAGAGGTAGACCTTAAATAATTGTGAACGAANTTTATATGTTATCCTAATCAGTGGAGGTGGAAACATCTACATGTTGGTCCCTAATCTGAACACTTTTGTAATAGTATGAAGACTTTTGTGATGTGATTAGGTTCAGATAATCCTTTCTCTTTCATTAGTAGAAACCCAAATATGGAGGTAGGAAAGATCGAAGATCAAGTGATACTCAAGAGTGAACACATTAGGTATTTGGGATTAATTATCCATAGGGAGGGAGAGATTGGAGATTGGAGATGATGTTAATCATAGAATTAAAGGAGGATGGACTAAATGGAAGAGTGCATCTGGTGTATTATTTGATCGACGTATACACCATAGGTTAAAAGCTAAGTTTTTATAAGACATTCATTGGACCAGCAATTCTTTATGGGATGAAATGTTGGGCTGTTAAAAAACAACACGTGCAGAAATGAGAATGTTAAGATGATGTGTGATAAAACGAGAAAGGATAGAATTAAAAATGAGTATATTAAAAAACTGTCCAAGTAGCACCAATAGGAGATAAATTAAAAGGGAATTGACTTAGGTGGTTTAGACATATTTACAGAAGACCTAGTAAAGTATTGTCGAGGAAGAGTGATTTGATACATAGAGATGGTAATGTGAGAGGCAGAGGTAGACCTTAAATAATTGTGAACGAAATAGTTAAAAAAAGTTATGATAGAGTATTGTCTAATGGAACATACGACTCTTGATAGAGCGCAATGACGAAACAGGGTTCGTGTAGCTGAAGTTTTGGCTTCGTTGAGTTGAGTCAACGTCCCCAGTTATGCATATAATCATTATTGATCAGATATGTTGTATCACCTGTTGAGCTGCATTGTAGATGTTGGATATTTGCATTGCTTGAAGTTTTGGTGATTGAAAGTGAGGAATACTATAACAATGGAAAATTTTACCAATTCGTGACTGCATTGAAACTGCGGTGATTTGAAATGTCTTTTGTACCCCCATAAAAGCTTAAAAATCTGAACAAATTCTTGAAATNTGTTGAGCTGCATTGTAGATGTTGGATATTTGCATTGCTTGAAGTTTTGGTTATTGAAAGTGAGGAATACTATAACAATGGAAAATTTTACCAATTCGTGACTGCATTGAAACTGCGGTGACTTGAAATGTCTTTTGTACCCCCATAAAAGCTTAAAAATCTGAACAAATTCTTGAAATATCTAAAAAAAATTCAAGACAGCCTTGATCTGAGATTCCTCCCCCTCCCCCCAACCCCCTTTTCTTTTTTTTTTCCTTTTCTCCCAAAACAACTTTCTTGCCCCATCCTTATTTTTTTTACCTTTTNCCCAACCCCCTTTTTTTTTTTTTCCTTTTCTCCCAAAACAACTTTCTTGCCCCATCCTTATTTTTTTTACCTTTTCTGTTTACATTATTTTATTTTTTTTTTGGTTTCTGTAAAAGTTCACTCTTTTTTTTGTGTTTTTTTTTCCTTTTCATTTTTTAGTGTTTTGATTTTGACAACTATGTGGACATAAACTCGAGACGACCATCCTGGCGCTGCCCGCATTGCAATCAGTTTGTATGTTTCACCGACATCTGTGTTGATCAAAATATGGTCAAGGCAAGTACTTATTGTATTTGTAATTTCCATTTCCTTTTGAAGTTCTCTTTTCTTTTCTTTTTTTGAGCATTGATTTTTTCTTCAGGTTTTGAAAGAGGTGGGAGAGAATGTTGCTGATGTGATCATCTCTGCAGATGGATCGTGGAAGGCTGTCACAGAAACTGAGGATCCTAGGGATCAGCCACATGATAAGACCCCCAGTTGCAAGCAAGATAGGCCTGCACATCAAGAATCAACTATCTTCCTAAATACTCCTCCTGATATTTTGGATCTCACCAAGGGAAATGATGCGATGGATGCAGTTGGAACTTGTGGAACTGAAGACAGAAAACCTTTCCCTGCTAATTGTCCAAGTAAATCTCATACTGAGAGCCTGACAATCAATCCAAACACCAATCATATGAATGAGGTTAATCAGATCAGTTCTCATGCAGAGGATGACTTTTGGTCAGGAGTTTTTTTGTCCACATATGGATCGGGAACATCCACTGCTAGGTCAGATGTGCAAATTACTGGTCGTGTTTCTGAGCCTGCTCCCACCAATTATATGCTGTCTCCCGTATTAACTGATGCTGTTTCTCCTGCTCTTAATCATGAACTGGAGGCTTTTCATGGAAATGCTCTCCTTGCAACACCTGTACAGAACCAAATTTCTGTTCCCAATAATATGCAACTACAACAGTCGCAATTCGGGAATTCAGTTATCAGCAACGAATATGGAAGGGTCCCATCAATACCCAGGCATGTAAGCAGAACACCAATTGCAGTTCAGGCTCTTCCAGCCCAGACTTCAACACCTGTAACCCAACAAAGAGGAAGAAATATTTTGAACATCTTGCCCCACATTGGGCCTTCTGCTGCTTCTGTGAGTTCTCCTGCTGTGCCATCAATTGGAGATAGTTTTAATACAGCATCCAGTAATGTGGAAAGGCAGCAACAATTTTCTAGGTCTCATTTGAATTCACTTCAATTGCCACATGCGGCCTCATCTTTGTTGCAGCCGTATTCGGGAACACAGGTAAAATTATATTGAGATTGTCCTTCACCGCTTGTTTTGTCATAGCCATGTATGTTGCTGTCAATACTTTGATAAATTGCTGAACGCAAGTTGACTTGCTTGGAAAGATTATTCTCCCTTCACATTGCATTGGGCTTTAACTATAGATGCATAGGTTTCCTCGTTCTATTTCCTATTGTTATTTTTGACTATATTTTTACCTTTAGCATTGGGATCATCAAAATCGCTCATTCGTGCCTGGTCAACCAGCTCAACAGATTGGTGGTCGTCCAGCTTCAAGTCAACTCCCAGGTGCTTACAGAATTTCCTCAGCACTTCCAACCGTACTCCAAAACTCAAATCAGCAGCTACCTTTGAACATCAGGGTGCCCCATGCCATGAGCCAGTCTCCAAGTCTGGTGCGGTCGTCTGCACATCTCCCACGGACTCAAATTCATCAAGGAGTAGCACCAACTGGAATTGGTCAGACAACTGGTCTAAGTGATAGCCAACATACCCGGTTGCTAGTTGGTGCTCAGCGACCTGCCCAGATGACTAGAAATTCACCATCTATGCCAGCTCCTGCTCAAACATCTAGAACATCATCTTTTTCAGTAAGTGCTGATGGGTTTCGATCATCCCTGGGAGAGCAGCGAGGGAATACAGGGCCAGTGCAACCAGTCACAGGAGCAGATGGTTCGGTTGATTTGGAAGCAGAACAGAATTGGCGCCCTACAGGTAGGATGCGTGGAAGCCTATCTGGGCAGGCTTATTCTGCTGCTTTAAGCCAATACATTATTCAGCCAACCCAGCCCGTTCAAGCTGCTAGACCATCATCAACTATGCCTGTGTTACCATCTGGTGTTCCATCCCAGTTGCATACCCTTGTGGCAAATAGCAGGAATGCCAATGCGCCTCCAGCAGTAAATCATTCATCGACAGAGCCTGCTAGTATGTCTGGAAGCTCAGGTGTTCTACCCCCGCAGTCTTTAGGGATGCATTAATGGTGGAGGATTTCATCTGGGGAACCTTTATATAGCTGGCATGACTAATTTTGGTTGACAGGGTCATTTGTACAGTTACCAAATTTCATCTGGAGGGATGTTTATTCATGGTTGATGGGTGTTCTAATTTAGTTAGTCCTTTGTTTTTAAATCTCGTTTATTTCTCCTATTGACATTGGAGGTCATGATTGTTGGTAGTTAATTTGGGAAATTTTTGAGGGTTTGGAGAGCCTATATGTTTTTATACATACCATGAAGTTTCGAATACACCTAGTTGGCGGCATGAAACATTTAGGGATTGGCATTTATAATGGGTGCAATTTCCTCCCAGTTTGTGGGGCCTTGCGTTCAATTTTCACTTGTCCCATATAGCTGCCCTATATGTTTTTATACATACCTTGAAGTTTCGAATACACCTAGTTGGCTGCATGAAACATTTAGGGATTGGCATTTATAATGGGTGCAATTTCCTCCTCCTCCCAGTTCGTGGGGCCTTGCATTCAATTTTCACTAAATAGCTGCCCTATCTTCCTCCTTGTAAGTTGAGAATGATAGTTGTGAAAGCATTTGTACCTTTTAGAGCATCTCTAACAACAAAAATTATTTTAACTACTTAAAAAATAAAATTTTCTATTTACCTAATTTTTTTAATACACAATTCAACAAATTTTTTATATCTTTAATTACTTATTTTAAATATTATTTATCATTTCTTTTGTATTATTTTTTTGGGGAATAGTGAAAGGGAGGAAGAGAGAATGGAAGAAATGAGAGGAAGAGAGAGAAAATATTATAAAAAAATTTTAAAAACAGTTTTTTATTTTCTAAACTCTAAAAACAAAGAAGATGTTGTTTGTTAGTTTTTATGTTCTTCAATTTTTTGAAAATTTTGGGAATTGAGATGTAATTTTAAATAACAACATTTTGTTGTTTTTGGAGTTTTTTGAAGTAAAATGAAAACACGAAAAACAGAGCATTTCCAAATTACTGAGATCTCCTCTTTGAGCCTTTTTAGCAACAAAAAACACTATCTAATATAAAACTTTTTTTTTAGCAATGCTACGTGAACTTAAAAAATATATTTGATAATTTCAACTATTGATTTCATTGTGGATCCCAGCATTCATTGAGACCCACTACATATTCAATGGTTGAAATTATCAAGTCTAGTTTTTAAGTCCATCTAATATTACTCTTTTTTTTTTTTTGCCTATCTCTCTTCGACCTTCTCTCTCTTAGACTTTCTCTCCACTTCAACGACGAAACCAGATGCACGCAGCATCTTCTCCTACAAAATGGATTTCTCTGGCAATTGAAGATCTTGTTCTCCGTTGATTGAAGGCTCTCCGATGACTGAGATCTTCAGATTAAGGGTTTTTTTTTTTTTTAGGTTTGAGTATTTTTTCAGATCTGAGTTTATTTTTTTTAAATCTGAGTCTTCTCCGGTAAAAGGGTTCTTATCCGACAAATGAGTTCATCGTCTTCTCCGTTGACTGAGGGCTCTCTGACGTGTACCAGAGGCTGTGTATGTTTGATCTTGGATGGATCTTGAATTTTGGGTTTTGGGTTTTGGATTTGTGTCCGTCTCCTCCGTTGTGTTCGTCTTCTCTATCGTGCTCAAATTTGTGTGTATGGGTGTGTGTGTGTGTGTGCATGTGTGCGTGTGGGTTTTGTGAAGATAGAGAGAGGGGAAAGAAAGATAGAGATAGAAAATTGTGGATTTTGTGGATTATTGTTCAAACAAATTTAATAAATTTCTGTTTTTTAATACTATTTTCAAAAATATATAATCAAACAGGTTTTACAATTTAAAATTTTTTAAAAATATTTTCTTAAAATTTTTTTCAAAAAATATTTTCGAATACTATTTTTTGAGATGCAAACCAAACATGTCCAACATTTTTTAATTTAGCTACTCATTTTTTCAATACACACTCCAACATATTTTCTATATTTTTAACTACTCATTTTAAATATTATTTCTCATTCCTTTTGTATTATTTTTTTTAAAAATAGTGAAAGGGAGGAAGAGAGAGAATGAAATAAATGAGAGGAAGAGAGAGAAAATATTATAAACATTTTTTATATATCGCTACAATGATATTGTAATAAAATGTTATTTTAGATGTTTTGAAAATAATCTGTTGAAATGAAAATTTTGAACTAAATGACTAAAACTCTTAGGGGAATAATGTACCCCTAAGTAGAATGTTATATGCACCAAATTTTATATACCAAATGATGTGGCAACATCATATTCATTGGATATGTAATGGATGCCAGTGGGACTCACCAATCTACCAACCCACATAATTTGGTGGACATAGCATTACACCTAAGGGATCAGGGGCGAAGCTACACTTACCTTTGTCAATTTTTTTGTTCAAACATTTTTTTTTATATAAATTTTAATATACTCTAAATTTGCCCCACAAAAATTTATATACATCTTAATTTACTTAATAATTTTTAACATTAAGATTAAATTTCTTTACTCGATTATTGATTATTTAATTGAATCTCTCCACATGTGTTCAAGAAAATTTGAAGCTTTTCGTTTTCTCCTCTATATGATGCCCCCTTACTCTCATCTTTGTAAATTTTGACACATTGAATAATAATATTATTATGTAATATTTTTTTAATATAAAAATTAGTCAATAAGATGGAAAAGATAAGGTATACGTTGCTCCTTTATGATTTGAACCTCAAGGATTCAAGCCGCCAAAAAAAAAAAAAATACTCTCTCACATGCAGGATAAAAATACATATATCTTACTCTAGACCTTACCACACATTGAGCCACCTCATTTAATTTATTATTATTTCAAAATTTTGAATTTTACTTTTGTTAAAAAAGTGTTACTAACATAATTGAAAGGCCTAATTTGATAATACAATGCATTGTTGGTTGAATTAGCATAGGGTATCAACATTAAATGTATTTTATTTGTTAATCCAACGGTAATAAAGCATTAGCTTTTCCAATTTAGTACATATATTATTGTTGTTGCTAAACCACTATCCCAAATTTCAGGCTCCGCCCCGGTAAGGGATGACTCTAAAATTTGTGAAAAAATCTAAGAGACGAAAAGTGCTCTTATGAATATTTAATGGGGGAATCCCCCCACCCCTCCCGGCGGGTGATCCATCACTATATGCACAACTGGTATCACACGTACACTTGCAAACGACATCTCTTTCTTGCTAAGTGTGGTTACATGGATGGGGAAGATTGAGATCAACAANTGTTTATTTCTCCTATTGACATTGGAGGTCATGATTGTTGGTAGTTAATTTGGGAAATTTTTGAGGGTGTGGAGAGCCTATATGTTTTTATACATACCATGAAGTTTCGAATACACCTAGTTGGCGNCGTTTATTTCTCCTATTGACATTGGAGGTCATGATTGTTGGTAGTTAATTTGGGAAATTTTTGAGGGTTTGGAGAGCCTATATGTTTTTATACATACCATGAAGTTTCGAATACACCTAGTTGGCGGCATGAAACATTTAGGGATTGGCATTTATAATGGGTGCAATTTCCTCCCATGTAGCTGCCCTATATGTTTTTATACATACCTTGAAGTTTCGAATACACCTAGTTGGCGGCATGAAACATTTAGGGATTGGCATTTATAATGGGTGCAATTTCCTCCCAGTTTGTGGGGCCTTGCGTTCAATTTTCACTTGTCCCATATAGCTGCCCTATATGTTTTTATACATACCTTGAAGTTTCGAATACACCTAGTTGGCTGCATGAAACATTTAGGGATTGGCATTTATAATGGGTGCAATTTCCTCCTCCCAGTTCGTGGGGCCTTGCATTCAATTTTCACTAAATAGCTGCCCTATCTTCCTCCTTGTAAGTTGAGAATGATAGTTGTGAAAGCATTTGTACCTTTTAGAGCATCTCCAACAACAAAAATTATTTTAACTACTTAAAAAATAAAATTTTCTATTTACCTAATTTTTTTAATACACAATTCAACAAATTTTTTATATCTTTAATTACTTATTTTAAATNCAACAACAAAAATTATTTTAACTACTTAAAAAATAAAATTTTCTATTTTACCTACTCATTTTTTTAATACACAATTCAACAAATTTTTTATATCTTTAATTACTTATTTTAAATATTATTTATCATTTCTTTTGTATTATTTTTTTGGGGAATAGTGAAAGGGAGGAAGAGAGAATGGAAGAAATGAGAGGAAGAGAGAGAAAATATTATAAAAAAATTTTAAAAACAGTTTTTTATTTTCTAAACTCTAAAAACAAAGAAGATGTTGTTTGTTAGTTTTTATGTTCTTCAATTTTTTGAAAATTTTGGGAATTGAGATGTAATTTTAAATAACAACATTTTGTTGTTTTTGGAGTTTTTTGAAGTAAAATGAAAACACGAAAAACAGAGCATTTCCAAATTACTGAGATCTCCTCTTTGAGCCTTTTTAGCAACAAAAAACACTATCTAATATAAAACTTNATGTATGGTAGTTGGGGCATGATTTTGTTGACTGGCACTGTCGAGTAGGACTGATGATAATTGGGTTGAGCAATTCGGACTTGGCTCGGATAAGTTTTAATTCAAACTTATGTTTGTGTTTTAAACGAATTGGTGTTGGATAATTTTTTAAGTTTGTTTAAAAAAAAGAGTTGGATAGAGTCGACCCAATTATTAGACATATTGTCAAGCTGAACTTATGGTGCAATNCTTTTTTTTTTAGCAATGCTATATGAACTTAAAAAATATACTTGATAATTTCAACACTGTGGATCCCAGCATTCATTGAGACCCACTACATATTCAATGGTTGAAATTATCAAGTCTAATTTTTAAGTCTAATTTTTAAGTCCATCTAATATTACTCTTTTTTTTTTTGCCTATCTCTCTTCGACCTTCTCTCTCTTAGACTTTCTCTCCACTTCAACGACGAAACCAGATGCACGCAGCATCTTCTCCGACAAAATGGATTTCTCTAGCAATTGAAGATCTTGTTCTCCGTTGATTGAAGGCTCTCCGATGACTGCGATCTTCAGATTAAGGGTTTTTTTTTTTTTGAGGTTTGAGTATTTTTTCAGATCTGAGTTTATTTTTTTTAAATCTGAGTCTTCTCCGGTAAAAGGGTTCTTATCCGACAAATGGGTTTGGATTTGTGTCCGTCTCCTCCGTTGTGTTCGTCTTCTCTATCGTGCTCAAATTTGTGTGTATGGGTGTGTGTGTGTGTGCATGTGTGAGTGTGGGTTTTGTGAAGATAGAGAGAGGGGAAAGAAAGATAGAGATAGAAAATTGTGGA